CTTAGCTCACATATTTTGCCCAGCCTGTCACATGAGTCAGGCGTGTTCTGGCATCACATTGGTGCTTCAAAAAGATTTTGAATTTTCAGCTTAGAGATACTCAACCTGTACTTTCAAAAATAAGCTAATCATCTTGCTGATGGCTTGTTTTGATTCTTATGCACACGTAGGAACACAAATATGGACACACACCACATATATCTCAAAATGAATTTGACTTCTTACCCATAGTTCCTAATCCTGCCAGGGTTAAACTGCCCCATAGCACAGCAACAATGAAAATTCCAGTCTTGATTGTCTTGGTCTTCTTCATTTAAATTTAATTTTTTAAGCATAGAAATATTTAAATTCTCTTTTCTTCTGGGAGTATAGTTAATGGTTAGAACATGAAGTTTATGAAATATGAAGTTACACCTGGTGAAAATTCATGAACCAGTGAGAAGATTCAAACAACCTGACATCATATGTGACAGACATGCCATCCTCTAAGACTTTCCACAGGGGAGAAATGAATTCAATCCAAGATGAAGTTTTAATCAGAAAACCCTAGGATGCACACAGAGTTTTAGGTACTTTATTATGGAGATACAAATGGGTACAAACACTGGTGTCTTTTAAGTGTGAGACCTAGGCAGTAATTACATATCACCTACACTCTTGATATTTTATTTAAAAGCCAATCATACAAATCTTGAGTTCTGGCTAGAGTAATATGGTGGCCAGCACTAGCAAAGACTTTCTCAAAGCTCCCTGTGCTTGCGAGATCCATTTTGGAAATTGTGGCATGAGAAACTTAAGTTATGGGAGATGTTTTGATGATGCTTTCACTACAAATGTCATTGAGTAAGTTGTCAGCCAAAAAGAGGTAGGTTACACAGAAAATTGTCCTTGTCAATAAGATCGTGCTGATACACCCTCATTATAGTCAAAAGATAAGCATGACTCTCTGAGAAACTACAGATAGCATGGTTACTTGCTTTACACATTGTTAAGAGTCCAAATGTTAATGATTTGACCTCTTGGTAGATTAGTGCTCTTTTTTGCAAATGCCTTTAGTGAGATATAACTCATACACCAAACAATCCATTTCAGATGTACAATTAAAGTATATAGTTTATTGGTCTTTAGGATGTTCCTAGAGTTGGACCATCTGTCACAATGTGATGGATTGTGGTGTGTTGCATCATCACAATGAGTTTTAGAATTAAAAATCCTAAGTAACTACTCATCTACTTTCTGTCACTATTGATTTGTCCATTTCTGGACATCTCCTACAAATGAAGTCATACAAGCATGGGATTTCATGATTGTCATCTTTCACTTGGCATAGTGTTTTTAAGATTTATCCATGTTGCAGCATACAGTGGGTCCTCCATATCCATGATTCTGCATCCATAGAGATGGTGGGCCAACTTAAGGGACTTGAGCATCCTTGGATTCTGCTATCCACATGTGGCCCAAGACTTGTAATGTAGTTCAATCCTTTTCATGTCCAAAGAAAAAATGTTGATCACATTTGGGTTATTTCTACCTTTTGGCCATCACAAATAATGCTGCTGTGAACATTCGTATACAAATTTGTTGTGAATATGTTTTCAATTCTTTGGCGGTATGTCCCTAGAAATACAATGACTGGGACATTTTGAGGAACTGCCAAACTGTTTTTCAAAGTGTTTGCTCCACTTTACATGCCCACCAGCTATGCGTGTGAGGGCTCCAGTTTCTCCTCATCTTCCCCAGCACATGTCTCCATCTGTGCTTGTTATGGTCTTCCTTTGCAGGTGAGATGGTAGCTCCCTTTCACTTGATTTGCATTTCTCTGATGACTAGTGATAGCATCTTTTCCTGTGTTTGTTGTCCATGTGTCTGTTTTCTTGTAGAATAGAATATTTAGATTGTCTTTTAATTAGGCAGCTCTTTGAACTTTATATACCTATAGTATAGGAGGGACTTGAAACAAAGTTTGCCTGAATCTGGACATTTCCTAGAAATAGAACCATATAATATACAGTCCTTTGTGACTGGCTTCTTTCATTTGGCCTAATGGTGACATCTGCATGTTATCTTTGAAGATATGGCTATCTTCTGACTGAGCTAATCTTTGAACTTTACATGTGTGTTACATTGAGGGTATTTGCTACATATGAGTAAAATAAACAATACATGAGTCAGCGTTTGAAATACTCACAATGCCTGCTATGAGGAAGTAGTGATGATGCTTGTGTGTGCAGAGACCTTGTTTGTCTTGGTTACGATTATATACCCCATACCTAAAAAACTCTCAACAGCCTGGCATAGTGTAGGTGTTCAGTCAATGCTGGTTAAGTGAATGAATGTTTGGTTGCAGTGTATTTCTTGATAACACAAATGACTGAAGATATATTCTTTGACCAGGTATGGTGGCACACACCTGAAATCTCAGATACCTATGAGGCAGAGACAGGAGGAATAAGGTCCAAGACCAGCCTGAAAAAGAAGTTAATGAGATCCTATTTCTCTCTCTCTCTCTCTCTCTCTCTCTCTCTCTCTCTCTCTCTCTTTCTCTCTATTTATTTGGGGGGTGGGCAGCACTGGGGTTTGAGCTCAGGGCCTCAAGCATGGTAGGCAGGTGCTCTACCACTTGAGCCACTCCACCAGGACAAGTTAGTTACATCTGTAATCCCAGCTAGTCAGGAGGCAGAGGTCGGAAGATCATGGTTCCAGGCAAGCCTGGACCCTATCTGAAAAACAAATTAAAAGCAAAAGAACTGAGGGTGTGGCTCCAGTGGTAGAGTGCTTGCCCTGAGTTCAATCCCCAGTACTGAAAAAAAAGTCATATATATGATTATTTAGGTGCGCATAATATCAACTAGAAAAAATGTTCAGATTTGTGACAAATGGTGTAAGGTCCATGGTCTATAAAACAAACTCAGGGTCAGGGTCACTATCCTCATGAGATGTACTAGCAGCCTGCCTGGTTCACTAATAATACTTTACCTGTGGTTCATTCACTTCTAAATGTTCTCAGCTTTCTTGTTTTTAACAGTGATATCAATACTTACATTTAAAAAATTGTCTTTTCAATAAAAAAGGAAAGTACAGTGTACATGGGTATATACTGGTTTAGTCAGAAGTGAGTTGCTAGCTAAATTGCTCATTTTCCTCCAGAAAAGAACAGAATGCTAGGATATACTGATAAAGTAAAAACAAGCTAGAACTAGATAAAGTGAATGAATTCAGCTTTCAACTTAATAAAGACTGGCTTTCCAAGGGGCTTGTTGGCAACTCCTTTTCAAGCTTACACACTTACCAACTGAGATGTTTTTTATGCCAATGTGCAATCACCCTGTAGTGGGAACTCAGTCTCAGAGATGGGTGAAGATGGTAGGTGACAAGCCTGCTTAGTCCTTCAGGAGTCTTAATTCATATTCAGGTGACTAAAGCTTTAGTGATATAAGAAAATAATAATTTTTTATAATCTCCACACATGAAATCAAGTCGTCTCATGAAAATGTCTCTAAATAGTTACCAGTGGATTATAGGCACCTTCCTACTGTGTACACAAGACAAGTAGACAAGTTGTGAGCAAGACAGTTATAAAACACGTGCCAATAGCACATGTTTCTGAGACATTGCCGCATCTCCTCAAATTGTTTTTTAAGAACTGTTGCAAATAAATGCTGGACCTGTTATTTAGTGTCTTTTCTTTTAAAAATACCAAGTATCTCAAAATTGGTAAACTCTGTGAAATACCATCTCACCTGTAAGTCAGTGAGATAGGTGGCAAATATTTTTTCCTCTCATGGGTTATTTAAAATAGCCTATTTAATTTAAATCTAATATAAATTTTGCATAAAAACCTATCATTTTGCTTGTAACATCTCTACAATCAAAATGTTCTATACATTTAACAGGGAAGACTCCAGAGTATTTGTGAGTTTAAGATAAAGTAGAAAAGTGAGAAGAGGCTCCTGACTTCAGCCACAGTTGCAGGTTGCTTCTGTAAATTTCAATTCTACATAGTTCAGGCCACCTTAGCTGGAAAGCTTGAGAAGTGCCAGTGTTCATGGCTTTGCTTTCTCTGTCTGTTGAATGAATCAAAAGGTTTCTATCTACTATATTCTAATACCAGGTTCCTAGCAGAAAAGGAAACACAAACAGGCCAAAGATAGTTAAAAAATAATTTTAAGTATGTATGCATTTTTAGTATTTTATTTATAGAAAAATTAATAAATTATTGATGGTATTTAATAACATAGTATATGTGTATTTTAATATTTTACAAAAATATTTCACACTTTTAAAAGCACATTTAAAAATAGATATATACTTAATATGTGCTCAAATATATACATCAGCACATGCATGTGTTTTATCCTTAAAGAGTAACAGTATGTTTTATGATTTTATGTGAAAATGCTTTGAAAATAAGTAAAAACAATCACAATGTTTAATATAGGTTGTTAGGAAAAACGCTGCTCATAAAGAAAGCTCAGGAGAAAAGTCTCACGTCCAAGAGCAAGGTTTAATGGCAGGCCCGAACTGCCAGGCTGGTGGCGGGGGGAGAAATATGGCGCAGCACAGACTCTGAGCCAGGAGTCCTCCCGGTAAGGGTGGAGCTTGTCTTAGAGCACGGGAATTTCTGTTTAAGGGCAGGGCTGTTATTGGGAATGGCTCCATTTCTCAAGTGAGGCCTGAGGATAAAATGGCCGCTGATTTACAAAATGGCGACATTATTGTTCTAGCATAGGTTAAATCACAGGAGGCATAATAAAATTGACATTTGCTGTTATACGATTGATTGCATTTTGTTACAACCATGTCATGGGTGAGTACTACTGTTGTCACCAGTTCACATGTGAAGAAATTTATCCAGAGATTTAGAAGATAATTCCTATTCTTCCTATATTTTAGGAAAACATGGAGTAGTGGAAAACCTTAATCTCCTGGTCCTTTGGCCTAGGTATATTATCAGAGACCCCTTCAAGGCCTCTCCTGAATATCTGTTGTGCCCCCTGTAGGTATATCAGGATTGGAGATAAAGAATGTGAATTTAACAAGAACTTCCGTCTTATCCTTCACACAAAACTGGCAAATCCTCACTATAAACCAGAATTACAAGCTCAGACAACCCTCCTCAATTTCATGGTCACGGAAGATGGTCTTGAAGCCCAGCTGCTGGCAGAGGTTGTCAGTATTGAAAGACCAGATTTGGAGACACTCAAGGTAAAAACTATTAAATCACTCCACCACCCTGTGTACAAATTATATTCAAAACACAACCATATAAGATAGGATTCTTGCCCTCCAAGGTCTTGTAATCTAACTGAGAAAATCAAAAATACATGTGAAAAGTTAAGAATTCCAAGTTCCTCTTGATAAGTGCCGGGTAACTAGGTTATGCCCACAGGCAGGAGATGGTCCTGTTTGGTGCTTAGGACCAGGACAAGCACAGAGGCATATCACTCATTGTAAGCAGGGATATAGACGTAGTTATGTACCCAGGTAGGTTGGGTGATAATAGGTCAATTTAGTTGGAGGGAAAAAGAATGCACATAAAGGAGAAAACACTTCAAAATATAGACAGAGGCAACTTTCTCAATAGAACTCCAGTAACAGGAAATAAGAGCAAGACTTGCAAATGGGATTGCTTCAAATTTAAAGTTTCTGCACATCAAAGGAAACAATTATTAAAGTAAAAAGACAGCCTACAGAATGAGAGAAAATTTTTGTGAGTTTTTCATCCAAAAAGGGATTAATATTTAGAATATATAAAGAGATCAAAAAATGAAGCATCAAGAGAGTAAATAATCCAATTAATGGGCAAATGAATCAAATATATTGAATAGATAGCTTACAAAAAAAGAAGTCTTTAACATCTTAGTCATAAAGGAAATGCAAATCAAAACGTCATTAAGATTCCATCTCACGGGGATCACCGGTTTCCGGATCCCTCTGCATTCTCCAATATGCAGTCTTTCTCTTCTCTTTTCTCCAACTAAATTCTCTACAAATAAAATCTTTCCGACCTCTGCAAAAAAAAGAAGAAAAGATTCCATCTCACCCCAGTCAGAATGGCTATCAAGAAAACAAATAGGGCCAGGTATGGTGGTACACATTTACTGGGGAACTGGAGATGGGGGCTGGGGGTAGCATTGGGAGGATGACAGTTGGAGGCCAACCCCAGGCAAGAATTTAGCAAGACCCCATCTCAGAAGACCTGCAATCCCAGCTGTGGTCAGCAGACCACAGGTAGGATGATTCTAGTTAGAGGCCAGCCCCAGGCAAAAAATGTGAGACCCTATTTGAAAAATAACCTAAACAAAAAGGGCTGAGAGTGTGGCTCAAGTAGTAGAGTGCTTGCCTAGCAAGTGCAAGGCCCTGAGTTCAAATTCCAGCACCACCAAAAAAAGAAAAGAAACAAATGCTAGGAAGATATAAAGGAATAAAAGGAACTCTCACCTAATACACTGTTGATAGAAAATAAATTAGTGTAGCCAGTATGTAAATCAGTCTGGAGGTTCCTCAAAAAATAGAACTGCCATATGATCCTGCTATACCCCTCCTGGGCATATACCCAAAGGAAATGCAAGCCAGTATTCAATAAAGACACCTGCACAACCATGTTTATAGTAGCACTATTCACAACAGCCAAGGTAAGGAATCAGCCTAGGTGCCCATCAACAAATAAATGGATAAATAAAATGCAGTATATATACACTATGCAGTGTTATTCAGCCATAAAGATGGAATTGTGTTATTTGCAGGAAAACGATGGAACTGAAGATCATGTTAAGTGAAGTTAAGTCAGACTGAGTAAAGACAAGAACTGCATGCTTCCTCTCATATGCAGACTCTAGATCTATAAAGAAGGAAGTGAACATTAAAGGACAGCTATTGGATGGGAGGAAGCAAGGGAAGTGGGAGGAAAAGAAATAAAAGAGCAAGGGGAAGATAAGATGATCAAAGTACATTGTGTGCACATATGAAAGGGTCATAATGGAACCCATTTAAAAATTTTACAAGAAGGTTTTTAAAAGGAAGGGGATGAGAAGAGTGAGGGAGTGAATATAATCAAAGTATATTACATGCATATATGGAAATATCATGAAGCCTCTCACTTTGTAAATTAATGCATGCTAATAATTTTTTTAATGCAAATGAATTATGGAGTAAGGTTGAAAAAATTAAGGAGCTTGTACTTAACAATTTCTAAGTACATTAAGAAAAAACACTAAAAATAATAAAATTTAGCATTAAATACACTGCAAACAAGAAAACATCAGGGTAAGCCTAAAGACGTAGAAATAAGGCAGCAATAAAAATGCAAAATCAGAAAATAATTTTTAAAATTAGAGAAACAGAAATTAGCAAAAAAAAAAAATCACTAATTCTAAGGGGATAAAGAAACTAGTAGATAGACCAATCAAGAATAAAAGAGACAGTTAAGAGTATTAAAAGGAATAAATGGTACGCACATAGATTAAAATGCAGAAGAATAAATTTGAAAACTGAAACAATGAATAGTATTTCTGTGATGTGAAAATTAAGAACAATTAGCTTGTTGTTTTCAAATTTTTTCCATGTTGTAGTGTGTACAATTTTGAATTCCTCTTTCTGCATGAATAATATTCCTTTGTATGAATAGATAGCAGTTAATCCATCCCCTTATCAGTTGATGGGCATCTGGACTGTTTCCCCTTTTTAGGTGTAATGGATACTGCTTTGAACATCTTGTGCAGGTCTTTGAGTGGACATTTGTTTTCAGTTCTCTTGGATATCCATCTAGGAGCAGAATTGCTCAGCAATACAGTAACTCTGTTTCCATTTGATGGCCAGACTGGTTTCAAAGTGGCTGTGACATTTTACATTTCTACTGCTCCATCTTGATAGAGGTGAAGTGCTTCCTCCTGATGTTTAATTTCCCAGAGTCCAAACACGTGGAACATCTTTTCAGTATTTATTGGCCTTTTATTTTTATTCTTTGGGGAAATGTCTATTTAAAAACGTGTATTTTTAAAATTAGATTGTCTTTACTGATGAGTTGCAGCAGGTCTTTATATATTCTGAATATTAGATAATAATCATTGGATTATTATGTACAAAAATTTTCTCTTGTTCTATTATCTTTTCATTCTCTTTTTGATGATGTCCTTTGAAGAACAAGATCTGTACTTTTAGCCAAGTCCAGTTTACCTATTTTTTATTTGTTGCCTATGCTTTTAGTGTCATTGACTGATACAGCTCATGAAGATTCAGTCTTACGATTCTTTTGGAAGCTTTATAGTTTTAGCATTTAAATTTAGGCCTGGAATCAATTTTAAGTTAATTTTTATATCTATTGTAAGGTAGGTATTCAACTTCATTCTTTTGCAAGTGCATATCCAGTTGTTCTAGCAACATTTGTTGAAAGCATTATCTTTTCTTCTTTGACTTACTTTTGCTCCTTGTCAAAGATCACTTGACCATATTTCTGTGGATCTGTTTCTAATGTCTCTGTTCTGTTCTGTTCTGTTCTTTTATCGATATCACACTGTCTTGATTACTCTAGATTTTTAAGTCTTTAAGTCAGGTAATAACAATCTTCTGACTTTTTTCTTTCAGTGCACTATGGACAATTCTGGATCTTATCCTTTCAAAGGAAGTTTTAGAATCAGACTGTCAAATTTCACAGAGATTTTGATTAATATTGCTTTGAATCCCAGACATGAATAATTGATGTAGTAACAATATTGAGTTTTCCTATCCATGAATGTAGAACAACTCTTTTTTTTTTTTTTTTTGGCAGTAGTGGAGTTGGAACTCAGGGCTTTGCAATTGCTAGAAAGGTACTCTACCACTTGAGCCTCTTCCTTAGCTCTTTTTTGCTTTAGGGTCTCACTTTATGTCACCTTGAACCACTATCCACTTATTTATGTGTCCTGTGTAGCTGGGATGACAGGCATGCACACTGCACCCAGCTTTTATTGGCTGAGATGGAAACTTGTGAACTTTTTGTTCAGGCTACCCTGGAAACACGATCTTCCCAACCTTTGCCTCCTGAGTTGCTAGAATTACAGGCTTGAGACATTGCACCCAGCCCTCATCAGAGTTTTGTAGAATTCTCCAGAATAGATCTTCAATATATTTAGTTAGATTTATACCTAAATATTTTAGCATTTTGATGCTAATGTAAATGATATCGTGTTTTAAATTACAAATTCCTGTCAGTTGTTGCTGGCCTGTAGAAAAAAAAAGTTGCCTTTGTATATTAACCTGTATCCTGCAAATTTAATTAGTTTAATTCTTTGGAATTTTCTACATAAAACAATCATGCCACCTATGAACAAAGACAGTTATACTTTTTATTTTTCTTCTTTTTTTTTATTTATGGATTAGTTAGAAGTTTCAGTATACTGTTGAAAAAAATTGGTGAAAGGGGGCTTCCTTGCCTTGTTCCCTGTCTTTGGGGATGGCAGAGGGGAACATCTAGCATCTCACCATTAGGTACAATGTTAGCTGTAAGTCTCCTTTTTACATATTCTTTATCAAGTTGAGGAAATTCCTCTCTCTTTCTACTTTGCTGGCAGTTGGATTTTATCAAATATTTTTTCCTGCTTTTGTTGATCTGGTCATATTTTTCATCTTTAGCCTGTTGTATAACAGATTCCATCACTTAATTTTTGAATATTGAACCAGCCTTGCATACCTGCAATAAATCCCACTTGATTGTGGCGTATAATTAATTTTATACATTATTGGATTTGTTTTGCTAATATTTTACTGAGGATTTTCACATTTATGCTCATGAATGATATTGATACCTAGTTTTTCTTTCTTGTAATGCCTTTATCTAGTTTTGGTAATTATAGCAATGCTGACTCTACAGAATGAGACAGGAAGTGCCATTTCAGGTTCTATCTTTTGGAAGAAATTATTATTTCTTAAGTCTTTGATAGAACTCACTAATTGCAATCATTTGGACCCAGTACTTTCTTTTTTAGGAAGGTTATTAATTATTGATTCTATTTCTTTAGTAGATCTATGCCTAATCAGATTACTTTTTTTCTTGCCTGAATGTTTTTACAGATTGTGTCTCCCAAATTTGTAGGTACACAGTTGTTCATAATAATCCTTTTATGTCCATGGAATCGTTCTGTTTCCCCCTCTTTCATTCTGATATTAATACTTCATGCTTCTCTCCCCCCACCTTTTCTTTCTTTCTCTTTTAGCCTGACTAGAAGGTCATAATTTTATTGATCCTTTCAAGAAACAAGCTTTTAGTTTTATTGATTTTTTTTTCTTTTACTTTTTTTTTTATTGTGCTGGGTATGGGTACATTATGACATTTACAAAATTCTTACAGTATAACAAATAACTCATACTTGAATTTATCCCCTCCACCATTCTCCTTTATTTCCCTTCCCCACTTCCTGAAACAGTTTCAACAGATACCATTTTTCCATTTATATACATGGATACACAGTATTTGCAGCATATTCACCCTCCATCACCGTTTCCCCACCTCCTTCCCCTCCCAACATTACCAGACACCCCCCCCCCGCCACCCCTCAGGACCTGCTCTGCCCTCCTGTTCTCCAATTTTATATAAGGAAAAAAAAGAAGAAAAATGTCATTTTTGCTTGTAGGATAGCTACATGAGGAGTTTCCTTGGGCATTTCCACATACATGTATATTTATAGTCCAATTTAAGCGACTTATTGGCTTCATATTTTAAATTTCATTGATTTCTGCTCGAATTTTTATTATTTCCCACTTGCTTTGCGTTTATATTGATCTTTTTTCTCTTGTTTCCTAAGGTGAAAGCATATATAATTTGCTTTAGATCTTTTCTTATATATGAAGTCAGTGCTGTAAATTTTCCTTTAGGCACTGCTTATACTACATTTTTACAATCTTATGTAATGGCAGTTACATTTTATCTTCATTTTAACTTATTCCAAAATGTTTTAAATTTCTCACAAAATTGCTTATTTCCTGTTATTTTGAAGTGTATGTTGTTTAATCTCCAAATACTTTGGTATTTTCTAGCCTTTTTTGTTATAAGCTTCTTATTTAATTTTATAGTGGTGTAGGAACATACTTTCTGTGATTCAAACTTTTACAGTGTGTTTTATGGCCCACTATTTGGTCCATCTTGGAGAATGTTCCATGAAAAAAATTTTGATTTTGCTGTTATTGGAAGAACTTTATAAATGTCAGTTGGTCTAGTTGATTAGTGATGTTTAGTTCAGTTACATCCTTACTGGTCTGTCAGTTATAGCTTTGGGAGTTGTGAGTTCCCCAGCTACCACAGTGAGCTTGTCTTTTTCTCTTTGCGGTTCTATCACTGTCTGTCTTATGTAGTTTATACTCTGTTGTTAGGTTCATAAACGTTAAAGATAGCTACACTTTCTTATAGAATTGAGCCCTTTATTATTAGGTAATACATCTTTTCTTGGTAATTTTCCTCATTCTAATATCTGATCTGCTTGAAATTAAAATAACTGCTCCAGCTTTCTTTTGATTGGTGCTAGTATGATATACAATTTTCTATTCTTTATTGTTTTTTGTTTTGTTTTGTTTTTGAGGCACTGGGATTTGAGCTCAGGACCCTCACGCTTGCTAGGTAGGTGCTCTTACTACTTGAGCCACTCACACCAGCCCTTCTTTTTCTATTCTTGTACCTTTAATCTATTTACATCTTTATATTCAAAGTTGGATTTTATAGACAACAGATAGTTGGGTCCTGATATTTATCTACTCTGACTGTCTCTGTCTCTTAATTAATTTATTTAAACAATTCACATTCTAAAAGATTATTCATATGATTGGATTAATATCTACCATATTTGCCATTTTTTATTTATTTACTCATTTTCTTTTTTTCATTTGGTTTTGTCTTTTCCTCTCTTTTTGCCTTCCCCAATTTTAATTAAGCATTCTATATGATTTGTATCTCTTCTCTCTTAGCATGTATACTATACTTCTTTCTTAAAAATGTCAGTGGTTGCTTTAGTCTTTGCACCAGCTGACCTACATCCACTTTCAATTATACTATACTGCCTCATAGGTAATGCAGGAAACATTTCACAGAGAACTCTGATTTCTTCCTTCCTACCTTGTATAACATTGCTGTCATTCATTATATTTATCCATAGTTTCCACTGTATACAAAAATCCACTGAATATTTTAATGCTCCTATTATTTTGAACAAACAGCTCAGTTAAGAAAAACAAAATACCTTCATTTATTCCTTCTCTAGCACTTTCTTTATGCAGATCTGAATTTCTGATTTGTTCTCCTTGCTTATGAAGAAATTATTTTAAGCACTTATGGTAAAATAGGTCTACCCTGTTTTTGTTTGTCTAAGAAAACCTTTATTTCTCCTTCACTTTTGAAGGATAATTTGACAGGATGCAGAATTCTAGTTGGTTATTTTCCCACAATTTTAAAAGTATTCTACTCCTTTTCTTGGCTGCTTAATTTCTCAACAGAAGTTCCCTGTAATTCTCATTAATCCTCCTCCATAAGCCAGGGATTCTTTCAAGATTTTCTTTGTCTTTGATTCTCTGCAATTTTAATGTGATAAGCATAAGTGTAGAGTTTTAGATATCCTTCTCTGTTAATGTAAGCTTCCTGGATCTGAGGTGTCTGTTATCAATTTTGAAAATTCTTAGCTATTGCTATTTTCAGTATTTCTTTTGCTCTTTCTTCTTATTCTGGTTTTCCTATTACATGTAGGTTGTACCTCTATAATTAATCACCTTTACTTTGTAGTTCTTGGGTATTCTTTTCTTTTTCAAACTTTGTTTTTTCCTTTTTGTTTTTCAGTTAAGAAGTTTCTATTGACACATCTTCAAACTCTCTGATTCAGCAGTGTCAGCCTACTTCCTGAGCCCATCAAAGGAATTTTTCATTTTTGTCACAGCATTTTTTACTTTTCCCTTTTGATTCTTTCTTAAAGTTTTCATAACTGTTCATACATTGTCAGTGTGATCTTGCATGCTGTCCATTTTTTTCAAAAGAGCTCTTGTTACATGAACCATAGTTATTTTTAGTTTCCCTTACAATTATTCCAAACTTTCTGCCATACTTGCATCATGTTCTGAGATTGGTATTTTCTCTTCAGACAGTATTTTTTTTTTTTTTGAAAATCAGTCATGATGTATTGGATAGTTGGAAATGAGGTAGAATTTAATGTAAAATTTTTTGTTTATGTGGCTATGACATTGAGTATGTTTAATGTTTACTGCAACTATGGCTGTCATAGGCTTCAGTTTTCTCCAGTATCCTTATTTTTCATTTCCCTGTTGTTTTGAGTTTCCCTAAAACTCCTTACTTAAATAAAATCTGTTTCTTGGCACTCTCTCACTTATAATCCGCTATTATACCAGATACATTAGAAGGTAAACATTCTCTATTCTTATGATTAACTCTCAGGGGTTTTTGAGTAGACTGAGTCACTGGTCTGTGACCTTCAGAAAAGTTTTTCCCCTCCTGTGTGAGTCAAAAAGTCTCAAGAGGGATGAACTGTGTAATTACCCTCACCCTAGGCCACATTAGCCCTGGTAAAGTAGTTTCCCTCGTGGGCAGGCTTTTGCTAAAGGAAATAGAAAGTTTTAGACATGTCTAAAATGGTTGCCTTTCCCCTGAGCTTATCACAAAATTATTACTTTATCCCTGCCCCAAGCAGGAGTGGATTTTTCTTCCATCTTTACTGTGAGAACCTGGTAGGTCTTTTAGAAGTGAAACAAAAATGTATAAGGCCCCCTGTGAGTGGGACCCCAAAAGGTTTTGACTCTCCAGCTCTGCCTCCAGCAACTGGTCAGTTGGATTTAAGTGTTCCAATAGTGATTCTCTGCATTGCCTATCCAGTTTTCAGGATGGCAGCTTGCCCTGTGACCTCAGTTCCCTGGTAGAACTGCTGCTTAGCTTTTTTTCTTGTTGTGACAAAAGAAGTGAGTCTCCCATGCTCTTTATGCATCAGAGTGGAAACCAAAAGTTTCTAATATATTCTTTAATGTATTCTTCCTGGAGGTTCATGATGGAAAACGATTGTGATAAGTGCTCATACTCTAGACCGTGGAGTCCTAGCAGATCTTAACATGCCTTCTGAATTACTAAAAGAAATTTTAAAACTTATCAGTATGGTTTTAATGTTAAATGTGTTTTATGGTATATATATATATATATATATATATATATATATATATATATATATATATATCATATACATATATATATATATACATAGATGCCATGAAGTTTGAGATAAAGGAAACTCCCCTTGACAAGCATGTATAAAAATTACCATTTCTCACACATTTCTTGGTTCACATTAGCTGGATTTGACAAAGCACCAAAATGACTTTAAGATCCAGCTGAAGCACCTAGAAGATGACCTCCTCCTACGCCTCTCTGCAGCAGAAGGGAGCTTCCTAGACGACACCAACCTGGTAGAGAGATTGGAGACGACAAAGGCCACCGCAGCAGAGATAGAGCGCAAAGTAAGAAAGGGCAAAAGATGTCCAGTGGGGTTAGGGCTTTATTTGAATTCAATGCTTGGGCCAATAGTGTAATCAAATGTGGGAAATTCTCTGGGGGGATGGATATGTTGTAGAATTCAGGTCACTTAACAAACCACCCTCAAAAATTGGACTGTGAGGGACTTAGGATGAAGTTGGGGGCAGTTGAGCTTCCATTTTTAATTCCACAGAGATCCAGTTGTTCAAGTTAGACTCTGTTAGGCTATTATTTTTCTTGAGTGACCAGACTTGAAGGAAATTGGAGCCTGCTGACTCATATAGTGGAAAACCTAAAAAGGTTTTCCTGTAGTTTCTCACTGCAAGTTTCCTAGTCTGTTGGACATTTTAAAGAAATCCTTACAGCTAAAGGTTTGTTTACAGGCCTGTAGTGGCAGGAGACTGACAGTCTCCTGCTGTTCTCAAATGCATTGTTTACACTGGAAATATGACATTTCCTAAAAGCCAGTAAAAACTTTTGTGAAGTAGGCCTCCTGCTAAATGTACAACATGTGTCCTAATATGCAGTATACATAGTATTCACTTTGGACGCTCACACGTGGCATTAATTCTTAAAATTCCATAGTTCCAAGTCAGAATTAGACTCTGATTTGCTTTCTGGAAATCCTCATTACTAAGTAATCTATTAATTACCCAGCAGAAGCCATGTCACTATACATCCAATATATGCATCTTAAATTAAGCAAGGAAGTGGAATCCCAAATTACTCTATCCTTTTAAGTAAGTGAATCCTAGGTGGCTTCTAAGATTGTAAAGATTAGGGCAATTAAGTAAATTAGTCTTAGCTTCAAAGTCAACTTCTAATTGTCTCTTAAAATGTTGCTTCCTATCTTCTCAATATATCACCATGTAGTGACTTCCCTTTCTGCTGTACATTTTATTTTCCTTTATACACAAATATTATGAGTCAAGCCCATAGAAACACTTAGGGGAAAACGTTGTCTCTTACAAAGCTATAGACCCAACAGCAAGTAGTTCTAGAAGAAAAGGAAATAGACATTTTGACCCTTGAATAAAAATGAATATGTTGGTTGATGATGGTGGGTTTTCTTTTTAATTATCTCTGTGACTGTGCCCAGAGGCTAATACATAAAAAATAAATGGAAATATATGAGCATATGGATGATATGGTGCAGTAAGACTAAAATAGTCGAGGGTCTTCATATAAAGGCTTTTTAGTAATCATAATTATTGGATGTATTATTGACCTTGGCTGTTTTTATATACCTTGTTGCCTAATAAATTTATTGGCATTGAATTGACCTGGCAGACTTTTAAAAGCCATCCCTAGGAGGTGATATAGCTGGGTTATTAAACCCTGAAAGAGAAAGGGGAGGTAGGAAGGTGACATTCTTCAGAAACAAATTCTGTAAAACCAAAGACACTTAGGTTTGTTTAAATCTGTAGTTAATACAACAGCTAGAGTTACGTCCATTTTCACTGAAACTCAGTGGGTTAATAATTATTTAAAATCTAATTTTAGAAAACCTCACACAAAGATGCCAGGCATGTTACCTATTTTAATAGCAATACTTTCCCCATTTCAAATATGTCCTTCTGTTCCTAGGATATGAATGGAGAAAAGTTGCTAATTCTGTTTGATCCCACTATAGGTGATTGAAGCCAAAGAAAATGAAAGAGAAATCAATGAGGCCCGAGAGTGTTACAGACCAGTGGCAGCAAGAGCTTCTCTCCTTTATTTTGTTATTAACGACCTCAGAAAAATCAACCCCATCTATCAGTTCTCCTTGAAGGTAATGCTGAATAGCCTAAGAAAAATTGAAAACCTCAGAAGATTGGATTTGTTTCTGGAAACTAGGAATTTATGTCTAAGTGATCAGATCTAGTTAACAACACCAATAAGAAGTTATCATTCTCTCAGGAACTTTTATTTATAATTTTCAGTAAGGCTTTGAGGTAGACTGTCAATGTGGCATTGTTACATTTGTGTATGATTTCTAAACATTCTTCAGGATTTATTAAATACAGGGAATTTTCTTTTAGCTCCTAATCTGACTTTGTGAAAATATAGTTGCCTTATAGTTCTTTGGCAAAGGGGGAAAAGAATGAAAACAAATTTATTAAGTGACTGTTACATGTACAAGGCACTGTTATACTTTAGGTCACTTTTTAACCATATAACATCCCAATTAAAGTACATCACTTTGCTCTCATGGAAAAAAAACCTAATATTTTCACATTTTAAATAAATTGCCCAAGAGTTCATCTTTTGTAATGGTGAGACCCAGGATTGCAAATGGTGTTCTGTATGCTGCATTATTCTGCTTCTGGGCAATGTTCATTCATTCTAACCATTCCTGTTTAAACAAATATTTATTGAAATCAATCATCATAAGAGATGCTTGTCACTCAGTGTATACTTTTGGGGGGAAAACATGAGTGTAGATATAGCTAGATATAGATAAATATAGCTCCTCTTTTATAAATATACATATCTTTATAAATGTAAATATGTTTATAAAATTATAAATGCAATAATAGGGGGAAAGAGGCTACTTAACTTTACTGGGGCTCAGGGAAGGCCTCCCAGACAAAGTGACATTTTAGCCATTTACCTGAAGGATATTTAGTATTTAGCTTTACACACAGTGTTTGGAGGAGCAGGGATATGAGAGATAGAAAGGGCTTGGGGACTCCTGGAAAGGAATGAATCTATATGGCTAGAGGATAATGAGTGAGAGTGAGGAAGAAGGTGACAAGAGACAAATCCAGAGATGCGGGAAGGACTTGATCACACAGAGTCTCCTCAACAACACTGGGGAATCATTTTTTTCTTTGATGGTACTGCAGCTTGAACTCAGGAGTGAGATCTTCTACCACTTGAACCATGCCCCACTAGCCCTCACATTAGGGCTATTGGATTATATCCCGTGTACAACCAGAAGTCATTGAAAGATTGCAAGCAGATGGCTGATGTGATGATAACAACAGAGAGAAATGAACAGACTTGAAGTTCTTGAAGCAGGAGTCACTTGCTCTCAGCAGTTGAACCATGCCCCACTAGCCCTCACATTAGGGCTATTGGATTATATCCTGTGTACAACCAGAAGTCATTGAAAGATTGCAAGCAGATGGCTGATGTGATGATAACAACAGAGAGAAATGAACAGACTTGAGGTTCTTGAAGCAGGAGTCACTTGCTCTCAGCAGTGCATTGGCTGTGGTTGTGGGTGTTGATGAAGAGGAAGAATGAAGCCTAACTTATAGGCTTCCTGCTAATATGTCACTAGTATAGACAAGTTTTGACAATCACAGTGTGATTGGATTTTAGAATAGCAAGAGTCTGAGGAGAATACCAAAACTGAACCAGTCATGCCAGCCCAGGATTACCCAAATACCAAAACTGAAACTTTACAAGACAAGAAAACTACAAAGCAGTCTTCCTTATGAACCTTACTGCAAAACTCCAAAAAAGATTGGCGTACTGTATCAGCCATATATAAAAAACACAATATATTCTTACCTAGTGGAATTTATGCAAGGAATACAAGTTGATTTAACATTTAAAAACTATACTATGTAATTAATTATATTAACAGAATAAAAGAGAAACAGATGATCATTTCAATTAATGCAAAGAATTTGACAAATTTCAACACATGGTTAAAAAAAGGAAGAACCTCTCAGTTAACTAGGAATAGATGGTAATGTCTCAACATTATAAAGGGCATCTATAAATATCAACAGCAGACAGTATGTTTAATTGAGAAATTAAATGTTTTCCTAAGTTGAGGAATATGACAGTATCTTCTCTAAGCATTTCTATTCAACACTGCACTAGAAGTTATAGCTTGTGCAATAAGACAACAAACAGCACAAAGATTTAAAAAGAAGAAAAGTTCTTTTTTTTCCCCACAGATATCCTGAGCACAAATGTTGAAAATACTAAGAAATCTACAAAAAGGGTACTAAGACTGAAAATGAGTCTTCAGCAAAGTTGCAGGATATAAAGTAAATATACAGAGCCCCTTGTATTTCTATAGATGAGGAACAAACAATTGGGAAATAAAATTAATAGCTCAGTAATATTTACAATGATTTCTAAAACCATGAAACTCTTGGGATACTTTAAATATAATGCGTGTAAGATTTTTCTTACTAAAAATTTAGTAATTTTTTTTTTTTTTGCTGTTTATGTATTGTAATTCTCAACATTGTGAAGATGTTCATTCTTTCCAAATTGATCTACAGATTCAAATCAGACTCAGTCAAAACACAAAAAGGTAGTTTTGGTGCAGTGGTAGTGGAAGAAGAAACAGGCAAACTAATTCTAACAACAGTGTGGAAATATAAAGGACTTAAAATAGCGAAGCAATTTTTGGAGGAGAGAAAACAAAACTAGACTTGCAGTGTCAGATTTTAAGACTAATTATAAACCTACACTCATCAAGACAGTGTAGTATTGGCTAAAAGAAAGACACAAAAATCAGAATAACTGAATAGAGTTCAAAAGTAGACTCACCAGTTTAAGGTCCACTGAATTTTTTTTTTAGCAGCAAGGTCAAGGCAATTGAATGAGGAAAGGATAGTTTTTACAAATGAGGTCCATGTGGAATTAAATAAACTTCAACTATTCTAGCCCACTATGTACAAAATCCAAAGCTATAGAATTTCTACAAAAATTATGAGGAAAAACATTGAGTTAGGCAAAGTTTCTTAGGTCACAGTAGAAACCATGAAAATTGATAAATTGAACCTATCAAATTTAAAAGTTTATGGTCATCATAAGACACTTAAGAAAGCAAAAAGGCAAACCACAAATTAGCAAAACCATTTTCATAACACATATGTCTATCCAAGAATTTGTGTCAGGATCTATGAGGAATTTGCACATCTCAGGAATAAGAGGTAGATAGGAGTATCATATAGTAAAACATATGCACATGCTCGAGCACACTGAAAATGTCAACAATCATTGGGGAAATGCAAAAAGCTGGCTGAGGACTTACCCCATAGAATGGCTAACATTTTAGAACACCGTCAGTACCACAAGTGGCACGGATATGGAACTGTGATGCTCTCACATTGCTGGAGGGAATGCAGCTTGGTAAAATCACTTTTGGAAAGCAGTTTGGCAATTTCTTATTAAGTCCAATACAGTATATAGTTGCAATACAATCTTGCATTTTTACTCTTGGTATTTACCTAAGTGAAATAAAAATACATTCACACAAAAACTTGTTCACAAGTGTTCATGGACACTTAATATGCCCAAATTTGGAAACAATCTGAAGACTGACAAGCAAATGGATGTATAAATTTGGCATAGTCATATAATGAGATACTACTCAAAATATAAAGGTATGAACTATTGGTACACACAAAAACATTATTCATCAGCAGATGCTATATTGACAAGAAGCAACCAAACATTGAGTACATAGTGCATAATCTTATTTATGTGAAATCATAGAAAAGGCAAGATCATTCTGTAATAACAGAAGCAGGTCACTAGTTGCCTGGGGCTGGAGAAAGTAGTGGGAATTGACTATAAAAAGGCACATGAGTCCTGGCTTGGTGGCTCATGCATAATGCATATAATCCCAGCTACTTGGGAGATGAGATTGGTAGGATTGCAGTTTGAGGCCAACCTGGGTAAAAAGCTAGTGAGATCCCCATCTAACCAATAAACTGGGCATGATGGCACACTTTTCTAATCCCAGCTATGACAGAAGCCAAGGTAGGAAGATTGGAGTCCCAGGCCAGCCAGGGTAAAAAGCAAGAGTCTGTCTGCAAAACAAACTAAAGCAAAATGAACTGGAGACATGACTCAAAACCCCCAGAACCAAAAAAAAAAAAAAAAAAGCACAAGAACTTTTTGTGGTGATAGAAGTAGAAAGGTTCTATATCTTGATCATAGTGATTGTTACAGAAGTATATCCATTTCTCAAAACTCATGCAAATTCATGCGCTTCATATGTAAATTGTATGTCAAATAATTTATATTGTATGTAAATTAAAAGTGAAAAATCAAGTTTGTACTCTGTTAACACCTCTTAACAGTTAACAGTACATACTTTATGTATCTGTAAATGTAGGATTTTACTTTCATACACACACACACACACACACACACTGCAAAGCAAGTCAGTCTGTGGTCTCTGGTCCCTGACCACCAGCCAAAAATGAACAAATAGTATATATTTGTATATACTTAAATACATATTTACATATATAGGTAAATACATAAATTCATCCAGCCCCCTTCTTACCAAAACATGAAATAGAAGCATAAAAAAACACTATGAGTGATTGCAAAAGGAGGAAGAGATAGCTGAAAGGAATCTCATAAATACATGGGTGGAACCAAAAAAAAAGAAAAACTGATTAAAAATAGGCTAAGGACTTGAGTAGATATTTTTCCAAAGAAGATATACAAATGGCCAAGCATATGAAAAAAAATGTCTAACGTCACCGTAAGAAGGTACGACTCAAAAGCACAGTGAGTGTCACCTTCTGTCCATTAGGATGGCTACTATTAAACCAAATACTGTTGAGAACATGGAAGACGTGGAATCCTTGTATGTTCCTGGAAATACGAGATGGCGCAGCCTCTATGGAAAGCAGTATGGGTTCCTCAAAAATTAGAAATAGAATAACCGTGTCACCCAGCAATTCCACATCTGGTTACATATGCAAAATAATTAAAAGAGGTTCATAAAGAGACAGCTCAACACCCAGATTCATCACAGCATTATTTATAATAGTCAAAAGATGGGAGCAACCCCGCTGTCATCAGTGCATGAATGGACTAACAAAATGTGGTATATGTGTGGAATGGAAGGAACTTCTGACACATGCTGCAATGTAGTGGAACTTGAAGCCATTATCCTGAGTGAAATAAGTCAGTCACAAGAAGACAAGTACTGCACAGCTTCACTCACATGAGGCACGCAGAGTAGGCAGACTCATGGACATGAAAAATAGAGTGGGGGTTGCCAGGTTCTGTGGAGGGGGATAGGGAGTTGATATTTAAGGGGACACAATTTCAGTTTAGCAGTATGAAAGAGCTCTAGAAATTGATTGCACAGCATTGCGAATATTTGCAACAATATTGAGCTGAACACTTAAAACTGTTAAGGTGGTAAGTTTTTATATTATATGCATTGTGTAATAATTAAAAATTCTAAAAACGTTTTTAAAAAGTACACGTGTGGACACAGAGGATGACTGAGGTCAGTTACTAGGCAGGAAATGTAAAGAGATTTTGTGGAATCTAAGCAGTTATGACAGCAAACCTTTAATGAACACTGCCTGTGTGCCACCTCCTGTTTAAGAGCTCTTGCAATCCTCTTAAAATCCCACCTTGTTCTTTCTCCCCATAGATAAACCTTAAACTGTAGCCTTGTGGCTCTGAGACTAGAGAGACATCCAAGTAGCAACTGTCACCCTTTAATAGTCACATTCAATTTCCCAGGCTTTCAACGTGCTGTTCCACAGAGCGATCAAGCAGGCGGACAAGGCAGAGGATTTGCAGGTTCGCATCTCTGTGCTGATGGAGCGCATCACCCACACCATCTTCCTCTACACCAGCCAGGCGCTGTTTGAGAAGGACAAGCTCACCTTTCTGTCCCAGATGACTTTTCAGGTGAGTTCAGTCATCTAAGGCATCCCCAGAAGCACAGGTAGACGCCGGCGTCGGCGAGTATTTTACTTCTGCTGAAGGAAAACAGAGACACCTTTTTGGAAGACCTTGTTGATATAAGAAGAGTGTGAGGTTCCCTGTGATAGCCTTTGCCTAGGTCACATGTTTTGGTTTGGTTATGCATGTTATGTGACCATCACAACCATCAACTAAGAAAGATCAGTGAGGGCTGGCGGAATGGCTCAAGTGGTAGAAGCACCTGCCTAGCAAGCATGAGGCCCTGAGTTCAAGCCCCAGTACTTCAAAAAGCAAACAAACAGGAAGACCAATTAGATATTCTCCCCCTCTCAGTTCCTGTAAAGAACCTTCTGGGTCCTACCAGCAAGGTTCTTTGAGATAAGAATTATGAGTCCAGACCTGAATGGCCTGTAAATTTCTCATAGTCCTTCTAGAAAAACAATAAATGAATTTATCCATATTGCTGCTAATGCCAGTGGTTGTATGGTATTTCATTGTATGTAAGCAGTAACAATGTATATTTCAAAATTGCTGAAAGAGCAGACTTTCAATGTTCTAATCCCCAGCATATGAAGCGATAGGTTAATTCATTTGACTTTTCCGCAATGTAACCATACATACATCAATTCATTACATTTCACTCTAAAAACATATGACTATTATTTGTTAAATAAAAATAATATATATTTTTTAAAAGCAATGACTAGATAAAGAGAGTTCTATCTGAGCTTCATGCCCCACGCTCAATGAGACCTGCTTGCCTTTCACTCGTTTCCATACAGACTTCTATAAAAGGTGTCCATGATTTCAAAAAACAAAAATATTCTGTTGAAATAAGCATGTTGTCCTTTTCTCTTAGCTAACTTGCTCTATGGCTTTTACTACCACTCCAAACCTGAAGGAAAAGTCTGTGTCTTGCCTATCTTTGTCTTCCAAAGGTCCTTGTCCAAAGAAGACATTTTGTTAAGCACCTGCAGTGCATAATGACATGCTGCCACTTCTCTTCCAATGTTTTTGGTAGTCACAGATTCCATTGGGTTCTCTAAAAATATATGAGTATAAGAGTTCTAGAATGTGTGAGGAACAGGAATGAGGCATTACAAAATGAAATACCTGTCCTTATACATATTGCTTATTAATAGGACAGAGCCAGGAATAATAATACATGACATGCACATCTATTTAAGACTTCACCCCTTGGAAGCCGTAAATAAACTGCAGTCTATCTCAAATCTGACAATCTATGTAAATAAAATCTTCTATCTATATGGGTGATTACTTATGTGTTGAAATTAAATTAAGAGAAATTAATTAGCTAATAAAGTATTATTGAATGCACATTACCATAATGCATTTTGGAAGCATCTAGAATTTTTAGATGGTATAAAGCTCAAAAATGTCATCTGTTTGACTCTGAGGTATTGTAGTTTATATGTGGAAATTAGGAATATATAATTTGTCCCCTCCAGAATATACTGTGGACTTACTATCAATATTATCAACTCCATAATCACACTGTCATTCCAGTTAATGATGTATTTGCTTAGTGGTATCTATTAAACAATTTCTGGTTTTCTCAAGATGATCCTATAGGAAAGATCTTTCGAACACATTTTATTTCATTGGCTATAATATCTATACTAGAATTATGCATCTAATTCTGCCTCCTCACAGTAATTCAGTCAATTGCCACCCAAGACATCCTCATTTTGTATCAGAAGTTTTAAGACAAGTTTGAGCTAACAATAGATTACATATGAAAGTACATTTCATATAATGCTGAAAATAGCCATAAGTGTTAGGATTATATTAAATCAGTCTTCTTGAATATTTTCTAGTGTATTGTATTTCTTCTTGAATATTTTCTATGATTTTGAGAAGGACATAATCTAAAATTCTCTATTTCAACTTTAGGTATCTGCCTGAATTCCTAGACTTATTCAATCATGCCTATTCAATCATGTCTGCTTCCTGTGTTGTGACTTTGATGTAAACCAAATAAATGATCCTTTTCAATTTTGTGTACCCTCAAGATTTTGTTGAGAAAGAAAGAGATCAACCCCCTTGAACTGGATTTCCTACTTCGATTTGCAGTCGAACACACTCATCCGAGTCCTGTGACGTTCCTAACTACTCAGTCGTGGAGTGCTGTTAAGGTGCATTAGGAAATTCATTTCTCAGTCTCTAAATCTGTTTTCAAACGTTAGGTCCCCTGATGTAAAAAGGCAGGTTAAAAAATACAGGCACTATGTACCACTCAGTTGTAGAAATATGCTATCTAAGGTGGTACTCTTTCATTACACTTTGTGTTATTCAATTGGTTAATTTCTTATTGAGAGATAAAGAAGCTTTTGACTTATGTGTAGGTGGAAAGTTATTAATAAGTATGTATAGTCTGTCAATACCTTCAATAAAAAAATCAGGTAACATAAGTGAAGTTTTTTTCAACTATCTTAAATCAGGTTTCTTCGTTTTTAAATTTTATTTCTCCACTTTTTCTAAGTAGTTTTGAAAATTACACAGTATAGTAGTTTATTCTCACCATAAAATGTTTAAGCAAAACAGAATATTGTAGAGAAAAGAAGTAAGTTACTTTTTTCAGCTCTCATTATCAATTCTTACTCATTTTGCTGTCAGAAGATTCTGTCGTTCAGAGTTTATCTCCCAGGCTCTGGAGTTCCTTCTAGATGTCCAGCATATACTAAGCTTTTGTCCCCTTCTTTGCTCTAAGAAGAAAACATTTCTATGCATTGAAAATAACTATGTTGTAACTTTATAGTATAATTATAGGGTTTTTTTAAATTTGTATTTCAATTATCACTTTAGAGTTACTCTGTTTCAAATGTGTTATCACTTAGGATCTCAGATAGAACATTCAAGGGGGAAATGCAGAAAGTTAAACAAAGAATACATTTTCATACTATGGGCAAGAAGGATAAGAGAGTCAACCCAACCAGGACAGAGATGGAAAAAGGAGAAAAAGAAGAAATACCCCTACCTCTTTCTTCTCTACCCTACTTCCGCAGCCTCCAGCCAATGCTTCCCATTGGCAAAACCCAACCAAGCCAGATAACTGGGGAGTTTAGTTGAACTTCAGCTTCCTTAGAGTTCTTCCTCTAGCAGGACAGTAAAGAGTGCAGAGTAAGTCTGAAGAAGAAAAGGAACCCTATCCCGCACAACGTGTGTAGATAGGATTTGATCACTTACAAGTCTTTCTCAAGCTGTAAACAATTGTGCACAGCATTCTCATCTGTTTCCCTGTTGTTACAGGCAGTTGCCCATATGGAAGAATTTCGAGGCATAGACCGAGATGTGGAAGGATCTGCCAAGCAATGGAGGAAGTGGGTAGAATCCGAGTGTCCAGAAAAAGAAAAGTTACCGCAAGAATGGAAGAAGAAAAGTTTGATACAGAAGCTGATTATTTTGAGAGCACTGCGCCCTGACAGAATGACATATGCTCTCCGGTGAGCAGTGGGCGATTTTGGAAATGCAAGATAACGTGGAAAAAATTCAGTCCTAGGGCTTGGGACTGGCTGGGGGACATGTTGCCCATCCATGTTGATGAGGAGTGATTCTGCCTAGATTTCAACAGGATAAGAGCTGCTATGGTTAAAATTTGCCAAAACTAAACGTGTGGATCTATAGGCAGACTCAGCACATCCTTCCTGGAAAAAAGCTCAATTCTGACCAAAGGAGGGGAGATGAGGAAATGATGGAAGTATTTTTGGAAGAGGGATAGGTGTCCGCACAGTTCAGAGGCCAGGAACATGTATTATCCCAGTGCAGTTTTCATCATCTTTATCCCATGGTAGCATTTGAGCTCTGAAGATTTTGCATGTCAAACAAAAAAGGAATTCCTTCCATGGAGCCACTCACAGTCCTGTGACTTTACAACCAAAACAATTTGAAAGCTGAAACCCCTGTCTACATCCTGGCTCCAGCATCCTTTCTCTTTGCCCTCTTGGCTTCTAAATGATAATATGCTGCTTAATTCACACCAGTCTTACTCTAATTTGAATTCACCAACCAAAGAGTTTTCAACTTCCTTCCTCATTGTGTTCCTCTTTCTTCAGTCATGTTCATGTGCCTCAGGATTTTTTTTTTCCTTTGCTTTGTCTATTTCAGCCAATTTTCCCTTTGTAGGAGCCTCTGCCGAGCCCTACTTTACAAGTTAATTCTGCTTAGTAGTACTTGCTTTCTGCTAAATCTGATGCTGCTGGAAAATAATCCCTGGTTAATTGAGCTTCCCTGTGTTAGAAACACCCCAAAAAGCATTTGTATATTCATGAGAAGCCCAGCAGGCTGGAAAATTGCACTGTGGCAAACCTAATGAACTGTTAATAAGTAATGGGGGAATCTGGCAGGGGATTTGGGGGACACAAAGCCATATGCAGGCAGCTGATAGTACTCAAAAGGGGTGTCTCAGTAGCCCCCCAAAACGGAAAGTAAGCTTCTGACTTTCAGTTTCTCAAGAGAGATTTATACCTCCTCATAAAGCTAGTTGGATTCATATCGACATTCTAGAAAGACAACCCTCATAGTAAACATGGTTTGCTTCTTTGCTGTGCCTATGATTAAAGCTTACCCAAGTGATGACACTTTTCAAGGTCAAAATTAGTGATCATGTATTTTGCATATCATTTTTATAGCAATTTTGTGGAGGAAAAATTAGGTGCAAAGTATGTGGAGAGAACCAGATTGGACTTAAGTAAAGCATTTGAAGAAAGCAGTCCCTGCATTCCAGTCTTCTTCATCTTGTCTCCAGGGGTGGATGCCCTGAAAGACCTCGAGATGCTTGGTGAGTGACCAGGAGGCTTGCTGGCCTGCACCCCCCTCCCACTTTCACCCACACCCACCTGCCCTTCCTTTCTATACAGTTATCTTTTTTTTTTATTCGTTGGAGATCGGGTGTGTGAAAAATGTGAGACTAATAACATTGTAGTCTGAAGAAATGCTCAAACAGAACATTTATCTGGTTGGTGTAATGCAAGCCTCTTTTGTACTGTTTTCTACCTTTTGACGATGTGAGGGCCAGAGGGCAATTTTCTCCATGCTCATGTAATCTTGTGCCCCCTGTGACTAAATAATGGTCATTAGAGCAAGTCTATTCGATTGTGCAAGGCACTGTCGCTTTGTGCTCTGGATTACTATTCCCTACGGCCTACACCAGGAATACCAGGTTAATGTAGCTGTGACCTCACTGTGCTCATTTTTAAACGCAGCCTCGCCAGGTGAGAGCTTGTGCATTTACCCAATGAACCAATCTGTTCAAAAAATGATGTGATATCTACCACATGTTGCTCCTTTTTATGAGGGAAATGCTTTGCTTCTCCTGCAGGAGTTTCGAAAGCTCCCTAACAATGCCTCCATCTATCAAAATGTCAAAAGCTTCATTATCATAAAACCAAAGGAACTGACTTCTGCAGGCTTTTCGAATGCTTATGCTGGCAGGGAGGCCGCCAAGGAGGGCTCAAAATGCTGCTTGTGGAAACAACCACTGCTTAGTTTGGCTTCTCCAGGAAAGTGACCTAGAAGATGGCAGCTGTGACCACAGATGCATATCAGAAAATTCTAGAATCTCCTCACCTTTCCTCTGTTGACATTTGCTCTCACCCTGTTGTATTTCCCCCACAGGCAAAAAACTTGGGTTTACAATTGACTTGGGAAAATTCCACAATGTGTCTTTAGGACAAGGTCAGGAGATGGTGGCAGAAATGGTACTAGAGAAAGCTTCCAAAGGAGGACACTGGGTTATACTCCAGGTGAGTATTAAGTTTACATGGAAAACACTGGGCATGAGAACAGAGGATGGGCAGTGCTCATCTGCCCTGTCTGGTGAGGAGGGGCCCTTGTCATAGCTCAGGGTGATTTACCAGCCCTCACCCTATTTTGACATTCAAGAGGGCTCTCAAGGTGGGAAGGGGGTAGGATGGCCGTCCTTTCTGGAAAGAATAATTAGTGCTTTGAAATTTTAAAATATTGGGAAGAATCCCATCGTCCTCCTAACTTACAGATGTTTGGAACCCTGCAGTAGTGGTTGAGGATGAGAGGCTGGTAGAGTTGGCCACACTGTTGTCATAATATTGGAAGCTGTTATTTAAAGTTGCCAAAGCCATTTTCATACATATCTACAGCTATATCTATACATATAGATATTTAATCTTATACAGTCCTAACTCTCATAGTTGTATTGCCTTCATTTGCTTGTAGGCAAGATCTTTATCCCTTTTAGAGCTGACAGTACACAGGTCCATGATTCTACAATCCCACATTTCTAAAAGTTTTCAGGAACCCCTGCAGCACAGGCCAGCACTGGGGCACAGGGTGAGGGGGTGGGAGGCTGTGCTGACTCTTTACAGTTAGCCCCACTAGCTGTCAGCAGGCTTGGTGATGACTGTCAAGGTTGATTGTCACTCACCATACAAAAAGGGAGGAAAATGAGCCTCAGAGTGAAATGTCTGCTGTGTCCCCAGCAAGCAGAGCTGGTAGGTGGTATAGCTGCTCCCTAACTCCAGGTCTGTTAGGAACAAGGGACTTTCTTTACCCATGCCACCACCCCATGCAAATGTACAATGTGGGCTTTCCATGGTGTCTCAGGTTTGACACACATTGCATTTCTGCTTGAAGTAAGATCGCTGCTGCCCAGAGTCCAAGCAGACTTCATCTTCAGGAACTTAACCTTCCAGGATAGTAATGCCCACTGCTATGTGAGGCCTCAATGGAGTCCTGCCTTTGGGGGCTTGGGGCAGTGGGCCCCCTGCTGAGGATCAGAATCAGTAACATCGAAGGGAGTATTTTATAGACAATGGTTGCTAAGACACTGGTAACCCCAAAATCTACTCACAAAGGAAAGAGTTTATTGAAAGTTCTCATGTGCCCAGTAATGCAGACTAGAGAGAGTACTACAAGGAGTATAGACATCCTCAAAAGAGACAATTACTCACAATAAATTTTTCTCCTGTTTTTATATCTATTCTGAGCTACCAATTGATCCCCAAAACTCAAGGTGTAAGTTTTACCACACACACACACACACACACACACACACACACACACACACAAATCTGAGAAGACCTTATGTCAAGCACCTGCTTTGAGGTGTCTACTAGACCTTTAGGTTTTGTTCTTGGTGGTAAGCCATAACCTAACATGTGACTGTTTAGCTGTACCTCTCTCTTCCCCCACCCCACTAACATCACAAATAGTAATTGGGGAGGGGAAGCTATGCCAGGCATTTGGCTGTTCTAGTTTACAAAGAAATCTAATATCCCTTTGGTAGGTAAAAGAGAAGCAAGACTAAAGACAGAATATAAGAGAAATTTGTTCTATTGTTTGTAATTTATATTGTTATATCTACATAGGAATATAATATGAATGTGTACATATCAGTTAGTTCTACCTAAACCTTAAAATGAACAATTATTATAAGCAAGCATAATCTCACAAGGAGTGTTGGGTGAGCATTTTATTAAAGTCCACATCAAGAAGAGCAGTTTTAGACTTGGCTGTACCTCACATGCACACCAGATGGTTTGTGAGTGAACCTAACATATTTTTTAAAAATCACTTTTCCTGAGCACAGTAAGTGGTGGTCAAGATGTATAGACTACCTAAAAATTACACAGGCTTTTCCATCCTTGGAAAAATAGGCAAAAGAATCTAGCTAGTCCCAAAGCCACTACCTTCCAGAACCATACCCAGGCTGGACTCAAGGGTGTGCCTGTGTTCTGTGATATCTCACCTGGATAGTTTTTGTCCCTGACTTCAAAATCACAGCCTAGAATAAAAATATTTGTTTCAAATAAACTTTTCAAGTAAAGTAGTGTGTAGTCCATAAGACAGAGTTAAGACACAGTTGAACTTACAAAACGGGTTTTATTATTGTTTTTGTTATTCACTTTTATGAGTGGCACAATTAAGTGTGAGAAGAACTGTCATTATAACCTAGTAGCAAGCATGTAGGATGAAATTTAGAGTCCTTACCTGCTGGGTTAGTTTCTTGGGCTGCCAAACCAAAGCATCACAGACTGGGCAGCTTAATCAACAGACATTGAATTTTCCACAGTTCTGGAGGCTGCAAGTCTGAGATCAAAGTGACAGCAGACCTCATTTCATGAGTCCTCTGTCCCTGACTTGCAGATGGCCAGACTCTCCCTGTAGTCTGCATGTGAGTTTCCTTCTGTGTTTCCCCTTGTAATCGCCTGTTCTTACAAGGACACCAGTCTTGTTGGTCATATGACCACATTACACTTTAATTACACCTCTTTAAAGAATCTGGCTGCAAATACAGTCACATTGCGACATACTGGGGGACTTGGCCTTCAATGTAAGAGTTTTAGAGGGGACACAATTCATTGGTAGGGGATACCTACCAATGCTCAGTATTTACCATTGTAATGAAAACCTAATAATATGAACCACTGAACTGGCATAGACCTTTCTGCAACAGAAATTTCAGAGGATACCTACATTGCCATTCCCTTCCTTATTTGACTTCATCTTCTGTATTTCTGTAACTGTGATCATTTCAATCCTTTTTCTTTGTTAGAAATTGTTACATACCTTTAGATGTGATGTTGTAGTCACTATATCAAGAGCTTTTCTCTCCAAAGCTGCAGAGCCATGTGAGGAGCAGCACTCCTGCCTCTCTCCCAGCACCAGCCACCACACTCTACCCCGTGAGTGAGCTTTGAGTGTAGGAGGAGCAAATTTGTGAATCACAAAACTGCAAAGCAAAGATTGATGGCAGTGGCAGTGTGTGTGTTTGACAGCTCCCAGATTTAAGATAACTAAAATGTTAGGAATGTGCAGAGTGCCTTAGCAATGAGTACTAGCCCTCTTGTAAGTCCCTTTGAGTCCATATGCTAATGAGTAGACGTTTGAGGACAGGAAGTTTCCATCAGAAACAATGAAATGGGTGATCAAGTACATTTCTGTCTCTCAGATTTTATGCTTTATTAAACTATTCCAGGTTTCAACTATAACAAAGAAAAGTGTTAGGCAATTCCATCTCAGAAGTGATGGTGGGTGTTTGAAGGTTTGTGTATTGGGAGGAAATTTTGGTTTTCAAAGACATCCCATGGGAATTTGGAACATTTAATGTTCAATTCTATTTTGGCTTTTTTGTTTTCATTTTCTGGTGTGATAAAGAAAAATTCAAACCATGTTTCACTTGAGTCTTCAACACTTTTGAATATAGGGAAATGTTCTGATACTATCATTCAAGTAACAAGAATCATAAGCCATACTGTCTTTCAGAATGTCCACTTGGTAGCCAAGTGGCTGGGAACCTTGGAGAAACTCCTTGAAAAATTCAGCCAAGGAAGCCACAGAGATTACAGGGTGTTCCTGAGTGCCAAGTCTGCACCTACACCGAGTGAACACATCATCCCTCAAGGGCTCCTGGAGAATGCCATTAAGATCACTAACGAACCCCCCACAGGGATGCTGGCCAACTTGCATGCTGCCCTGTACAACTTTGATCCGGTAAGAAAGCAGAAGCAGCCAGATCAGTAAGGTCAGAGTCTTCTCAAGAAGACTGTGAGGACTGTCATCAACTCACACATCTCATCTAGAGAGATGGAGTGGGATTTTGTGTGTGTGTGTGTGTGTGTGTGTGTGTGTGTGTGTGTGTGTGTGTGTGTGTGTGTGTGTCTGTCTGTCTTCAAAGAAATGCCAGCTGGGTGGAGTAGGATTGTGTGTGTGTGTGTGTCTGTCTGTCTGTCTTCAAAGAAATGCCAGCTGGGTGCCAGTATCATGCCTATAATCCTAGCTACTTGGGAGGCTGAGATAAGGGGAATCACATTTCAAGGCCAGCCCAGGCAAATGGTTCTTGAGACCCTATCTCCATAATAACCAGAGCAAAGTGGGCCAGATGTGTGATTCAAGTGATAGAGCATTTGCTTTGCAAGTGCAAAGCCCTGAGTTCAAACTCCAGTCCCACCAAAAAAAAAAAAAAATTGCCCCTGTCATTCCCTATTCTAATGATGAACTATATTCAAGTTTCACAATAAACTTAAGAACATTATAGAGTAAGCAAGCCAGGTAGCTTCTGAGGAGCCTACTCCTGGAAGATGTATGATGAGTGAACTAGTACTTAACCATAGAAAGAGGGTGAAGAAGCCTTTGTTATTCTTGTTTATGCTGATGGGCTGTCATCTGGTTACACACATGATACCTTCTTATTTATGTTTTCATTTCCTTCCAAAATGAAACAAGTAAGTTAATACCTATACAAATTACTGATAGCCAATTGCCATTGTTCTCTTCACCCAAATGATCATATCTATCAGATCATAGCCAAGTCTTCTGTTTCCTTTGTTGCTATTATTCTGAGTTCCTGTTCCTTCTTCTAATTTCTCTGAAATCCTTGGTAAATAGCACTCTTTTTAAGATAGTAAAATGACCTTACGGAAGACATACATTTGGTGATAAAAGTAGAAATGTTGCCTTTCTCTATGAAGCAAACGAACATGTTTAACTTTTTCTCTATTATCTTTTGGATCAATACACAAACCAACAGGGGGAATTATAGCAGTTGACTACCTCAAGCAAAAGAGTGTTGAAGAATGGAGTTAATTACTTAAATACTCAAGCAATCTATAGCCTGTGTGTACAGAAGACCATATAAACTAGTAGGAACTCAAAAAAAACTCATTAAATCTTTTAAATATTTCCAATATGCCATTTTAATGCTCTGGGGCAGACATATATTTGTCTTTTTTTTTTTTGTCAACTCTCAATTTATAAATTTTGGCCATTTATAAATCTTCAAGATTTTTCCAAAAGAAATACAATAGAAGAATCTGACCTACTTATAATTCATCTATTCCTCTAAAACAGCTGTCTTTACATGAAAGTAAGCACCTCATAAGCATGTTTCTACCCAATTATCCCTCAACTCTTTCAGTGAGGACCCCTGATAAAACTTAAGACACTATTTCCCAGAAAATAGGCTGCATACAATGATAGAGACTCACAGATTACCTCCAAGTCTATGTATGAATTCCCTCGTTAGAAACACCTGTTTTAAACCGGGTTACTTGGGAGGCAGAGATCAAGAGGATTATGGATAGAGGCCACTGCAGCAAAAAACTTAGCAAGACCTCATCTCAGTTAATAAGCCAGGTATGGTGACATGTGCCTGTGATCTCTGCCATATCACAGGGGAGACCCCCTGGTTAGGAGGATTACTGTCTGTGGCCAGCCCCAGGCAAAAATGCAAATACTTATCCAAAAAATAACTAAAGCAAAAAGGGCTGGGAATGTGGCTCAAATGGTAGAGTACCTGCGTAGCAAGTGCAATGCCCAAGTTCAAACCTCAGTACCACCAAAAAAAAAGATAAAGAACACCTGCTCTAGTCTGTTTATTGGTATCAGTTCTTTTAGCTGCTGTCTGAAAAAACACACATATTAATTGAAGGATATATTTACTGGAGACACTTTAAGAACTGTAAGGAGGAATATTTTTTTCTAGTGGAAAGGATCTTTTAAGTATTAAGACTAAATTGACTATAAGTAGCAAAAGCAAAGATAATCAGTGATTCACTAAACTCCTCCATAAATCTACTGTAGCCAGAATGAGCCAAACAAGTAAAAACATTAAAGAAAGTAAAAAATTTGAAGTCTTTTATAAGTGCTGACTTACGCTAAAAAAAATGCAGTTTTTCCTCAGCTTATGTCATGAAAGGACATTTTTCTGTGCTCGCTGGCTATCTGTGCATCAGTTTCCAGCACCCTTTAGAAGTTAGAATTAGAGTTGGCTATTTTTTCCCCAATGGTACTGGGGTTCCCGCTCAGGGATGAGGTGCTGTATCACTTGAGTCATACCTCCAGCTGTTTTTGCTCTGGTTAGTTTGGAGACAGGCAGCCTGGACTGTGATCTTCCTATTTTAAGTTTCCCACTGTTGTTGGGATGACAGGTACAGCCACTACACCCAGCTTTTTTCCCTTGAGTTGGAATCTCACAAACACTTTTTGCCCAGATTGGCCTCTAACCATGATCCTTCCAGCATCAGCCTCCTGCATAGCTTGGCATGGCAGGCACACCAGCTAGATTTGGCTAGTTTTGAAAGATGTTCTTATAACTGTGGTTTAAACAAGGTTAAAAAAATATATGTTCCTGTCACATGAGAATTCCAGAAGCACCACAAAGTTGTCATCAAGCTGGCTCTTTATCCCTCACCATCATACCATTTTTTTTTTTAAATATGGGGTCATCATGGTCCCAGTCAGCTCTGAGAGTTGCAGTCTGGGTATCCATGCTCCCAACAGAAGGATGAAAGAAGGAACAAAGAAGATGACAAAGGGAACATGTTTGCTTTCTTTTAAAGATGCTTCCTAACATTAATACAGCAGTCCCACCTTATCTAGGAGTATATGTTCCAAGACACCCAGTAGAGGCCTGAAATCAATATACAAATTCTGTATATTCATACTATCCTTTTTCCCCCCACAAACCTATCATAAGATTTCATTTATAAATTTGGCACAGTAAGAGATTAACAACAAAGATTAATAACAACAGGCAATAATACAAAAATGATAATACTGTACTTTAACAAGTTATTTAAAATTCAAGAACTGTTTATTTCTGGCATTTTCCATACAGTATTTTTGTACTATGGTTGACCACCAGTAACTGGAGATGAAGAAAATGAAACCTCAAAAAATGGGGAAGTGCTGAAAACAAGACATACTTCTTCATTCACCTCACTGGTCAAACTTCATCACATTACCTGACATCTGTATTTTTCATCTTGACTCTCAAATTAGAATTTACCTCCAAACATTTTCATTAATGTTCAAAATGAACAAAGTTGTTCCGTGTCAATGCTTTATTCCCCCAAACACTCCAGAAGATTTATGTAAATCTGGCCATTAAGTGGCCAAGAGCCATTGCTTGTGGTATGCTGCTAACCCACATCTTTCAGCTCAATTTTGTTTGCCTCTTAAAGACGCCATAAAGGAATACCGCTTGGGCTCTTTTCATTCCCCCCCAAGCCATGTTTTTCTTAGAATAAGAAGACAGATTTTTTTTTTCTGTGAAATTTGCAGGCAGAAACAATAATGGGTAATTGTGTATTGGAGACCATGTGCAGGTCATATTATGCACGTGCGTGTGGCTACCTGTTCTCTGTTCTCAATGCTATTTGTAGATTTTCCAATATTGAGTTGCTCATCGTTGGTTTATAAAAACATTATCAGCATGAAATATGGAATGGTAAGTAGGCTAACAGTTTTTGTTAGAAAAATCTGGTTCATATTTTCTTTCTTCAGCACTTATATTGTCAGAGCACAGTGAAATGGGCATGGGCTCTTTTTTTCTTTGAAAATAAAGCCAAGTTACTTATGTGTTACAACAGATTGTATTAATGTATTTAGTTTTTGTAGTACCTTGGCCTTTATGTGACGTAATTCAAGTAGTTGTTAAGTGTCTCCTTGGATAATTCTGATGTAAAATTTCAAATGTAAAATAATTGGGTTTCCTAGAAATATCATACATTTAACGGTAATTTCTTTGTACATCCTTCAAAGTAAATTCCGATGGTATGATTTCTCTTCTTCCACAGCTTGCCTTTTATTTAATATTTAGTTATGAAAAAGTTATTTTTTAATGATTTTACATTTCCAAACTCCATATATTGGCCTAGTGATCTGGAGTGACCTGGTAGTTTTGTTGGATCTGTACTACATACAGCCTGGCCAATTCTAGAACTGGATCTAGAACAAGCCCTGGATTCTGCTGAACACACTACAGACCCAGAGCGCTCCTGAAGATGGCCTACAACAAACCTAGCCTTTGTGTAGTACCGAAAGTCTCCTTAGTGACTAGACCCAGACTCTTCCTCCCAAAGGTCCTAAGTATCCTTAGTTCATGGCCCATATTGGATCCATTTTAAATGAACTTGCTGTGGTTTGACCATTTTTAAGGAGTGCACAGAATAGACCAGGTTTGGGCCTCTTCATCCCCTAGCACCAGTGGAAGGAATCATTGTCCTGGACTTATCTTGTTTGCCACATGGAACTGCTAAATTGAAATAAATAAAGCACTTTAAAGCCATAGATCAGACAGCTGTTTTCTACTTTTTTATTTTACAGTGTTGGGATTATTAATTATGGCATCATATCAGGATTTGACATTCCCCAAGTTTTCAAAAGAACTTCACAGATCTAGGCCACAGGGCACATGTTTTCCAATCTTTTCCTTATTTCACTCAGTCACCCCAACGTGAGTTTTACTCTTTGTTCATTGGAAGACGTGTCCTAGAAATTGTATGAGTTAAGGTATAGGCTAAATTTCTCTAATAAAGAAAATCAAACTACTGAGATTCAGCTAAGATAGCAGTTTATGCTCTCACACATATCCAGCAGGTCTTCCCATGAGCTCATTCACACACCGAAGCTGATGGGTGTCTCCTCTAACCAAGCTCAAGGCTTCCAGGGTTATCCAAGCCTCAGCATTCTAGCCCACAGAAAAGAGAAAAGAATGATAACCAGCACAAGTCATTTCCTTTTAAGTAAATAGCTTGGAAGTTATACACATCACTTCCCAAATTCTGTGGGCAAAAACTTCATCAGATGGCACCTCAGGCTTCAAGGGAGGCTGGAAAACTGTCATTTGGAGGGTGACAGTGTGCAAATGATCTGTTATCATGGAAGCAGAGGAGAAAGTGGTTAAGCAGTTGTGGTTAAGCATGCTGCTAGTGATGTCACTAACACTGTCACCTTTTGTTTTACAGGGGAAAATGGTATCAAGCAGTATTAACATAAGCAAAATTTTCTAGTGATCTTAGAAACAAAGAAAAACAAAGGCTGGGGATATACCTTAGTGGCAGAATACTTACCTAGCATGTATGACGTGCCGGGTTCGATCCTCAGAACCAGCAAATTTTTTAAAAATGTACTAGCTGGGCATGGTGGTACATACCTATAATTCCAGCACTTGGGAAGCTGAGACAGGAGGATCATAAATTAGAGGCTGGCCTAGGCTATATGGCAAGATAGTGTCTCAAACAAAATGAAACAAACAAAAAATACAAAATAAAAGGATTCTTCTTCTATCCTCAGACTGGCAAATGCCAAATAGTCTCTTCTTTGTACTATCCTGGATGAGTAGCTGTGCATAAAACTATAGTTACCTCTGCGGTCTATTTCCCCCAAATCTTTCACAAGATTGTTGAGAATTCAGACCCTTGCAAACCGTACTGATGGATAATGATGTGCTTCTTTTCTTCTCTTTCAGGATACACCTGAGATGTGCTCCAAGGAGCAGGAGTTTAAAAGCATCCTCTTTTCTCTGTGCTACTTCCATGCTTGTGTTGCTGGGAGACTGAGATTTGGCCCCCAGGGCTGGAGCCGAAGCTATCCTTTCAATTCTGGAGACCTTACCATCTGTGCCAGCGTCCTGTACAACTACTTAGAGGCCAACCCTAGCGTAAGTGTGAGCAATCAGATGACCCTTTCCAAAGAGTGTACCGAATCTGTCAGTCTTTGGTACTATCAAAATGAACCATAATTTCTCTGTTGAAGCTATTACTGAAATAGCTGACACTATGCACACATCTTCTGCCAAGTGTGAAAATAAACCGGATCAAAGGTTTTTCCAGCAGTGGATGGTCGAACTTTGTAAGATAGGTCAAACCAGCTCTACATCGGCAGCTTAGTGCAGAGCTAAGCACTAAGCTTTTTTCAGCTTAGAGCAGAAAAAAAAAAAAAATGAAAAAATGTCCTTCATTATGTTAACAAAAACAGTGGTTTACATGTGCATATATGCCAGATTCATTAGGCAGGTAATGAAGCATTTACACAAATGTAATTACATACAGCAATTCTGACAGTTCATAACACTGCATTAATAATCACTACAATTAGTTCTGATGATGGAAGCAATTTACAGTGCGTCACATGTATAAATAATGGTGCATTTCCTGCATATGTCATTATTATGTATTAAGGGTGCCACCTTGTTTTGACTTTCTCAGTAACGTTCCCCTTGAAGTTAAAGATAGATGAATGATTTTATTTCACAGCTAGAAAGTGTGCTACAGATGGGAATGCGAGTGTCTCATCAAGAACAGTTGTGGAAACTCTTACAAACTGAATGATGGGCTTCCAAAGAGGAAGACCCATTCCATTCCTCAGTTTTGTGCTTAATCCTTGCAGGGGGAAACTTTTTCCATATTAAACTGGTTAAGATTTGTCAAACCAACTAAATGTCAGGCTCTAGGCCACATTTTCTAGAAAGGGCCTTTACAACCACAGATCAATGTTTCTAAGGAAATGTGGTTGCTTGGTGTTCTTTTGGTAACCATTATTCTAGTTTTTTTTGTCTCTCCTCAAGCTTCAGTGGGGATTTCACTTTTGTAGGATATGCAAATGTGGCATAAAGCAGGGTGTGTCCTCCAAAACAAGTGGCTTTAATATGGTTTTTGATGATCAATATTCCCTATCTATATACTTTTTCAATTTATGAAATTTAAAAAGTCTGAGCCAGGTACCAGTGGCTCACACCTGTAATCTTAGTTACTCAGGAGGCAGAGATGGAAGCCAGCCCAGACAAAGAGTTCACAAAATCCTATCTGGAAAATACCCAATATTAAAAAGGGGCTGGTGGAGTGGCTCAAATAGTAGAGTGCCTGCCTAGCCAGCGTGAAAACCCTGAGTTCAAACCCTAGTACTGAAAAAAAAAAAAAGTAAGTCTGTACACTTTGGACATATTTTAGTCAATCTAGTAAGTGCTTTTGTGTTGATCTCAGCACATTTTGTTTAAACTGATGTATGTAAAGTTATAGTTCTAAATAATAAAAAAAAAAAAGAAATGGACTGTTTTAACACTTATATTCAAGTCCTGCATAACTGTCCCATGAGGTGAGCCCAGGAAATACTGTCCCATTTTGGCTGAATCCTGAACACAACTGAAGTAGAAATGAGGAGGGAAAAAAGGAAATGACATGTGTGTTTATCTCCTGTTCTCACATCCTAAGTCACAGCAATACCAGTTAAATTGTGCTGTGTCCAACTTCTTTTCCCAGTGGGTTCCAGGTCCGTTACCAACCTAGTGTTTTTAACAGAATTCCTATCTCTCAGGTGCCACACATCACAAATGAGTTATCAAGATGGGGAAATTAAGTGAAAATGTGCACATAGTTTGGTTGTACAAAGTGCTCTTTTCAAGAAAATGTATGTCAAAGGCAAAGCTTAGGAGAAAGAGAATCAATTATTGAAAGGTACAGACTACTAGCTGATTATAATCTGGAAGGAGATACATATTGGATACTGAAAAGTAGAAGGAGTGTTAACTCATGTAATCAGAAGGGGAAACAGGAAGCTCCTGTTTCCCATCCATTTCAGCTATATGGAAGGTGGCTGGTAGAGTGACTTGGAGTGACTGAGAGCATGGTACAGTCTAGTCACTTCTATTTCTCATTCACATATTTGAGGTTCATTTATTCAAATAAACTTGTATCAAGTACACTGGAATAGCTGAAGCAATTTTACTTGTTCTGTTCTGTCACATCATGCAACGAGTGAAGGCTATAATTACGTTTTTACTTGAACTGTTGGGAGGCAATAGACTGCCCCCAAGGGTATAAAGGTTCCTGTCTAGAAAGGCTTCATCACAAACTGGCATGTTTTGCAAACCCAGAGGAAGTTAAAGGGTAGCAAAAAGAGGTTTCAAACTCTGCTCAGTCAACTAAAAAGGAGATAGAGTGATTTCTTGAATAAAACATGGTACAGTTATTAGTTACGGTTCTTACAACAGTCATTTGACTAGGCAAGCCATAAGCTGGACCTTTGAGTCAACTGTGGCAAGGGGGTTTTGTTTGCCCAAACTTTTGGAAAGTGTTAGAATTTGAAATATACCCCAAATTCAAATTGCCTGGCGTTTTTTTCTTCTTCCAAGTCACAGCATAAAAACAGGTAGAAATTAGGTAATAAAAATAGGTAACACTTCAAAGGCCCTGAGAACCAATGATTTCTGGGTAATATTTTGAATGTCTAAACTTTCCCCACATAACCTGATCTAGGAATGATTCCATTTTCTTTAAAGTCTGCAATAAAGAGGGCAGTGTTGGTGAATTTTCATAGAAAGTATTAGAACACACTAAAAATAACTCTCCCAAGCTGTTCTACAAAGAAACTTCTTACACAATGTCCACACCTCTTTTAAATACCCCTATTGACAAGAGCTTTGGGGGTATTGTTGGGGGGCATGTGCCAGGCAGATACTCTGGACCCATAAGTGAAATTTGCATGAATTTTTCCCCAGGTCCCATGGGAAGACCTCCGTTATCTGTTTGGTGAGATCATGTATGGTGGCCATATCACAGATCCCTGGGATCGCAAACTGTGCCGGGTGTATTTAGAAGAATTCATGAATCCATCTCTGGTGAGACATTTTTAAATTAATTCTTCTGAGGAGAAAATTCTGGTAAGAATGTTTTAAAAGATAATTCTTAAATGTTATTGAAGTTTCTAGGCTCTTTATGAATGTATTCTGGTCTATCTTCATGGAATTTTGGTAATTTGTTAGAAATACAGAATCTCAGGCCCCTCCCAAGATAAAATTTGCCTTTCACAAGACTCCTCAGATGATTTGTGTGCATGCACAGGGTACCAAGGTTAAGTGGCTCACAGCCACTGACTCCTTACACATCTGTGATAACTCTGTGAGCGACGCAGAACTGACAGTTACTCCATTGGACAGACTGAAACAGTAAGGCATGGTGACTGACCCCAGGCCACTCAGTGAGTAGGGGCAAGAGCTTTAGTCAGAATGTAAGTGTTGTGATTTCATTCCAGGGTTCATTCCACCATAGCAATTTTCTTTTTTGTTTGTTGGTCCCATTGCCTCGGGGCCTCTGGCAGCATAGTACATCATGGGTGAGTGCATGGTGGAGTAGGCATGTCTACTTCATGGCAGCCAGGGAGGGGCCAGGGTCCCAATAGCTCATGCCCCCCGTGACCTCCCCCCTCCCACTAGGCCCCACCTCTTAATGATTCCACCACCTTGCACAGCACTACAGGCTGGTGACCAGTCCTTAAACACATGAGCCCTTAGGGGACACTTCCAAACCATAGCAGCAGTCTACAACATATCATTTCTTTTCCCAGCTGGGAAAGATGCTAACTATGTTGCTATAGTTTAGAGGGTTTAGTTTTTATTTTGTCTTTACAATTAGAGCAATCTTATTTCTCTGAAAACTTCATCTCAGAGAAGCATTGTATAGATTTGATCACCTTCCTCTAGTCCATTTTGAGAAGTAAAATAATCAGCATTCGAAGACATAATGTATCATAGTCTAATGTAGAAAACTGGGCACAGATTACCTTTTACTTCTTTGACTAACACAGCACAATTTGTGCTACGTGACCGTCATGTAGGTGTGTCTTTTTACTTGAGTTTCCTGGTTTTCCTCAGTACTAATGAGCAGGATTCCACGTGTCAGAAAGACACTTCCAATTGAACACAATTGGAAGTCACTCAGAAGAGGTCTGGGAGCAAGTTACCATGGAAACAGGAAAGATAAACAGCACCAGCAGCAACCTTTCCAGAGGCTGATTTCTCCCAGTGGGGGTGTAGGTCAAGGGGCAGAGGAGGACGCTCATGCGTCTCATCCCCTCACTGGCTCTGGCCTGTGGCTAAGGGGAGAATGACTGGTGCCAAGTAAGACAGTCCATTAACCTTCACAAGTCTAAGCTCCAATAAAATAACTGTGAAATAAATATAGGTGATGAAACCTGAGGGGTCTCACTGGTGTAAGCCCTTTAGAAACGTAGGTACGTGACCTTCTATACAGATCTGGTGAGATTTTCAGTATTAAAATGCTTCATTTGCAAGCTGGCATCCTCGCAGGACAGTGCTACGTTCTCATCTCACCAAGGGAAAATTAGCAGACTTACTGCCTCCATGTCAGAGGCTGCACACTCACTTATCTTGTTCTCATGTAAATGCCCCTGCTCAGCTGTTTATGTCACCAGCAACATGATCTAACACTTCAGCATCTGCAGGGTGTCTTTGTGCCCCTTCTTGTATCAGTCAACATATTTGTAAATTATCTTTGGATGCATTGGGACATGATCAAAAAGCAATTCCACTAGTGTGTTGGGTTTAAAGTTTTGCTCTTATCAAAAGAGCTGGACTGCTTGTAGTGATACTTTGCTGTGAAGAAGAGGGACAAGCTTCCTACTGGATAAATGAGTTTGCACTCAGAAGAGTTCTCCAATGGCAATGGGCCTTAAAGGGTCGTTGGACAAAGTTAAAGATAAAACATTTTCTCATCTTATGTATATACTCAGCAGTGCTAACAAGTGATAAATTCCTTTTGGAAAATAAGGCTATCAGGTCACCTGAAAGTTACCACATTGTACAAACTATTTTTGTGATACAGAGTACTAATTAAAGAGCCCAGGCTTAAAGTTAAAAAAAAAAAAAAAAAAAACCCACAACAAAAACAAACGCTGTAGTGCAATAGCTTGGTCTAATTCCAGATACTTGGGACACAAAGATCAGGAAGATCAAAGTTCAAGGGCAGCCCAGGCACAAAGTTGGTGAGAACTCATCTCAACTAATAAGCTGAGTGCAGTTGTGCCTGTGATTACAGCTATGCAAGAGGCATAAACAGGAGGACTGGGGTCCAGGCTGGCCTGTGGCAAAAACATGGAACCCCATCTGAAAAATAGCTAAAAAAGCAAAAAGGGTTGGGGGCATGATTCAAGTGGTGAAGTACTTGCCCAGCAAGTGCGAGACCCTGAGTTCAAACTCCAGTACTATTTAAAAAAAGAAAGAAAAGGACTTGGGTTCTTTGTGTTTGCTGTGTGATCTGACCTATTGCTGAGCTTTACTGTAAGAATGACCAACTCATGCACATGCCATCAGGCAGACTGATGACCATAATAGAAAGTTAGAACAATATGCTTACTAGATGGGAAATATTTTCTAATGTATTTCACACTTGATTGTACTTTGCTTCCTTTGTGATATCGGAAACCATTTATTAAAAACTTGTGCCGTGTCAGGGGTCACTACCACATACTTCAAGTGTGCAGTCCTGCCAAGCAGGTATTATTTCATTAATTATGAAAATAACTTGGGTTAACAAAGATACAACTGGTAAGCAGCAGAATCAAGATTTGAACTTGTAGTAGGACTCCAAAGGCCAGTCTTGTTCTGCACCACACTGCACTGTGGACATGCACAATCCAGAGATTGGGGCTCTAGTTCTGGTTCTGCTACCAACTTCCTGTCTAGGTTTGTGCCCGTAATCCCTGTGCCTTAGTTTGTAAAATAAAAGTGTTGTCTATAACAAGTCACCAGTGTACTTGGAAGTTCTTAAGACAACATGACAAGGTAAGCCAATGTTGAGTAATTTCTGAAAATACCAACAGCTCTTTGGGTCCCTGGCTTTTTTGACCCACAGAGCCATGGGCAAATGCACCTGCTTGTATCCACAATAAACCGGGAGCTTCTTGTCACACCAAGACAGTGGAGGGGCGAAGAGAGGTGAGGTATTTGTTATGTGCCAGAAAAGTCAGTGTGAAGACAACAACAACCCATACAGTGGGAAGGATGTTGGTTTAAGCAGTGTAGCAACTGTGCCCATCAGCTTGCTTGCCTGATTCCTGCAGGAAACTCTACAGCCTTGATTTTTTTCATGATGTAGAGGTTTGATCTGCCTAAGCAGGATTCAATTGTTATTTTTTTAAGTTGTACTGATATAATTTGCACACCATAATTGTACAATTTAAACTTTTAAAGTACATTCACAGTAGTGGCTTTAGAATCTGTGTTCATTAGTCACTGTGCCCTCTGTCCCTTCCCCCCCCCACACACACAATACTTCCTATTTCCCTGGCCTTGGCAACCACTGCTCTCCTTTGTCTCTATAGATTTACCCATTCTGGACATTTTATGTTAATGGAATAATTCAACACTTAGCAGTCTGTGTCTGATGCACTTCACTTAATATGTTTTCCAAGGTCATCCACGTTGCAGCATGTATCAGAATTTCATTCCTTTTCATAGCCCAAGAATCTTCCATTGTTTTAGATACATCACATTTTGTTTTCCACTCACCACTGGAAATGTGGGTTGTTTCTGGATTTGAGCTACTATGAAACTATGTTACTATGAAGTTTTATGTACGAATTTAATGTGGTTTGATGTTTTCACTTCTTTTGGGAATGTACCTCGGTGTGGAATTGCAGGGTGAAATGGTGACTCTATACAACAACACTGTTTTCCAGAGTTGTTTCACCATTTTACATTCCCACTGGCAATGCATGAAGGTTGTTTTCTCCACATTCTTACCAATACCACTACTGTCCACAATTTTTATTCTGACCATCCTGATGGGACTAAAGTGGTTCAAGTACCACTTGATCTGCAGATTCCTGAAGACTAATGATTTGAGCATCTTTTCAAGTGCTCACTGCCATTTGTCTTCTTTGGAGAGATGTCCATTTAGAGTGGGTAATTCTTTTGAGGCATTAGAACACCTTCTCAAACTACCCTCTCCCACTGTGGGGAGAACTATATAGTCAGGTCCCATCAGAAAGGTTTTCATAAGAGCCCTTTTGTGGGAAGATTGTCAGAATCAGGATTCACAGAGATCCTTGTGTGCTGAAATCTTCAGTTATCTTAAAATAAAAGGGGAACCCAAATCTCTGTTTCAAACTTTCATTGTTTGACATCAAAGTAGGAATTTACAGAAGACATTTCTCAGGCTTTGTTTTTCCTTCCAGAAAATCAAGATGTACTTAAAATAACCATGTCTGCCCTTAGGGCATAGGGAAGCCATAAATTAACATTTGTAAAACCCTGCTCTGTGTCTAGCTTTTTGCAGATGTTATTGAATTTTGTCACTACTATTTGGTTGCAATTATGAGTACCTCTGCTGATGAAAGGATTGCAACAAACATGACCGTCTTTTTTTTTGGGTGGGGGGGGCACTAGAGTTTGAACTTAAGGGTTTGTACTTCATAGGCAGGCACTCTACTGCATAAACCTAACCTCCAGCCCAAGACTATCATTTCTTAAGGCTACCTAACAACTATGATGGGAACTGAACCAGGTTTTGTTGGCTCTAAGCCTGGAACTCTTTTGAGTTTGCAGTTTCCCTTTGCGTTGTCCATCGCATGACACACAGAAGGCACTCTTCACCTGTTTGTAAACAGACTGCCTAGTTTCTTCCCAAAAAGTACAGGCCATTTATAGTCCTGCCAGCATTACTCAGTATGCACTAAGCCACCCAGTCCCAGTGGCATTTTAACACTGCCAAGTGATTCCAATTTTGGTTCATTTTTTTCCCTTGAAATTGTCCTTTGAAGGGCAAATTAACTGCAGCTTTTGAAAGTTGTCTCAGATATGTACTGAGCACTAACAGAAAAGACCAAGATCTTGTTTGCAGAGAACAAAGTTCTACTTGGATGTGTTTATTTTAATTTTGGGGTTTGCTATTCATATTTTTATTTTGGCTAATTTATGTCAGAGAATAATGGTGAGTTTAATTCTCCTTACAGTGTTTTGGTTGTTGTTGTTGTTGGTGTGTGTGTGTGTGTGTGTGTGTGTGTGTGTGTACTGGGGTTTTGAACTTAGAGCTTCACATTTGCTAGGCAGGCGCTCTATTGTTTGAACCATGTCCCCAGCCCTTTTTACTCTGGTTATCTTTGAGATGGGGTCTTGCTTTTTTGACCAGGCCAGCCTGGACCACATGCTTTTATTTTACATTTCCCAGTGTAGCTAGAATGACAGGCACACACCACCACCCCCTGCTTTTTTCTGTTGAGATGGGGTCTAGTTACCTTTTTCTGCCCAGGCTGGCCACAAACTATGATCCTCCTAATGTCAGCCTCCCAAGTAGACAGGATGACAGGTGTGAGCCACCAGCATCCCTGGCTTCCTATACAGTTTTGTTTTACTCATGTGTCCCCATTAAAGAAGCAGGTTTTCATAAAAGCCCAAGGGGGAAGGTTGTCAGAATCAGGATTCATAGAATTCCTTGAGTGTGGTGAAATCTTTACAGTTGTCTTAAAGTAAAAGGGGAAGACAAGTGTCTATATGAACCAAACCTTTCTTTTCAAACTTTAGTTGTTTGACACCAAAGGAGGGCATTTAACTTCAATGTTGGTCACTCTTTATACATAAATATGAAATCAAAATGTAAATAAATAAATAGAACCAAGCCCAGGGGCATCGGTGGTGGGATATTCTCACTTGTTCCTTTCTGTATTCATTGGGTCAAGTTTTCTGTTTCTATAAGGTAACTTGGACATCCTTCTGCTACAAAATAAGTGTAGAAATATTGATTCAAATATTAAAAATGGCTGGGCACCTGTGACTTTGCTTGCAATCCTAGCTACTTGGGAGGTAGAGAACAGGAGGATCTCAGTTCAAAACCAACCCAAAGCAAATAGTTTGCAAGACCAGATCCTGGAAAATACCCAACCCTAAATCAGGCTGGAAGAGGGGCTCAAGTGTGAGTTCCTGAGTTCAAACCCCAGTACTGGGGGGAAAAAAATTTTAAATGCTCTTGGGATTCATGGTCAGCAGCTGAGCACCTTTGTTAGGGTCAAAAGCTCTGTAGGCAATCCAGGATTGCAGGTATGAGATGGAGGAACAAACACTCATGAACACACTGTGTGGAAAATCACAGTGATTTGTTCCCTTTACTCTGAGTTCCAGAAGAATTACATCCTATGAAGCGTTTATACTTCTGAGGTTTGCTGTGATATACTGGGTGATCAGTACATAGTATTGAGTGAATTAATGAAAACTCACTGCCTCCAGGTAATAGCAGAAGAGATATGGTACAACATATGCAGTAATGGACCAATCTCACTTTCAGAAAAGCACTTTGAAAACCTAGGCAGAAAACAGCTATCAGGTGCTAAGTCAAAAAATAGCCTTCCCCTATACATTTTAGTATATGTACAGACAAAACTTATGGCATAAAAGACTGGGAAAATTAAAACAGAGGTGTTAATGACCTCACAGAGCAACTGGAGAAAGATCTGAGATCATACTGTTAACTAGAACACTATTCAACAGAGATTGACTCTGTTTATGGCTGAACAGAGATTCAGGTCCATAAATTCTTTGGTTGCATTTTGAAGCTCTACCTTCTAACTTTAGAGGATATGGTATTGCTATACACATGGACTTTGTTCTAAGTGTCCCTTCGTATGAAGTAACGACTCCCTCCCCTCTGGCCTTAATGAAGGGGATGGTATGATAAAGAATGTATTTCTCCTACCTCTCATGCACCAGGCAACTGAGTACTGACCCATTGTCTATTGATCTTGAGACAGACTTTGCCCTGAGTAGCCCAAGGTCCTAGGGAGGTAGCCTTCATTTGACTCAGTATATATAGCTACATCAACACATATTTTTCATTAGCAGCACACACAATTATGTTTACAAAACGTGTGTATCATACACAAGTTTTAAAGCATCACTGCAGAAAGTGTGGCACACTAATAATGTTAGTCAAATTTTTGTTGCTGTGACAAAATACAAGAGGAAATAAAGAAGAAAAGCTTTGTTTTGTCTCAGTTTCAGAGGTTTTAAGACCATGGTCTGGACTGCTTCTGTGCCATGGTGAGACAGATAAATCCTAGAGGAAGGGCATGGTGGGAGAAAGCTGACTTCATGGCAGCCAGGAAGCAAAGAGGGAGAAAACAAAGGGCCAGAGACCAAGATACCCCTCTAAAGACAAACACTCAGTGACTACCTTCCTCCAGCTAGACCACCTCCTGAAATTTCCAGCACCTCCCCAAATAGCACCACCAATGACTGAAGCATGTAACAGTGACCAATGGACAGGGATGGCACAGCACTCTCTTTGCTGTGCATGCATCATGTTATCCCAAGCACACTGCAAACTAATTCTGGTCTGGGACAGGATTCACCTGTGTTCTGTGGAATCCTCCGTAGAGGTCAGCTTGGAGCCAGACAGAGAGCAGAATGACTGCGAAGCATTTAGAGGGATCCTGCTACCTAACTAGCATTGTGTTGAAACTTTCTTGCCAGAATGTTCAGTGTTTGGGAAGCAGAAATGATTCCTACCTCGCTTCAGAATAACTGTTTCTTTCTTTACGGTTGAAGCTTGAAGATGATCTCATGCTAGCACCAGGATTTGCAGCTCCCCCCTACCTAGATTATTCTGGCTACCACCAGTACATAGAGGAGATGCTGCCACCAGAAAGCCCAGCTCTGTACGGCCTGCACCCCAATTCTGAAATAGAATTCCTGACGGTGACGTCTAACACTCTCTTCAGAACTTTGCTGGAGATGCAGCCCAGGAATGCAGACAGCAGTGAGGAACTGGGGCAGTTCACAGATGAAAAGGTAAAAGGTTTTTTTCTTTTAAACTGAGGCATAATCTATACACACTGACATGTACTAATCTTAAGCGTGCAACTCAATGAAATTTTACCTATCTAAAACCACACAGGTCAAAATACAGAACATTTTCCTTTTTTTTGCGGTACTGGAACTTGAACTCGGCCCACACCTTGAGCCACTCCACCAGCACCCCCCCCCCTTTCTTTTGGGTGAAGGTTTCTCCAAGATAGGGTCTTTTGAACTATTTGCCCAGGCTGTTTTCAGACCATGGTCCTCCTGATCTCTGCCTCCTGAATAGCTAGGATTACAGGTGTGAGCCACCAACACCGGGCTCAGGACATTTTCAGCAGTCCAGGACAGTCATGCCTCTTACTAATCAATGATGTTCCTCCCCACTCCCCAACAATAATCGATGTGCTTGATACCATCATCACATTAGTGCTGCTTACTTTTGAACTTCACATGCATGGAATCATAGTGTTTACCCTTTATGTTAGGCTCCTTTGACTCCACAGTTCATTTGGGAAATTCATCCACATTGTTCATGGACCAGTGGTTCATTTTTGTTTACTATTCTATATGAATATGCAATTCTTATCATGTTATGAATATTACATCCAGGAACATCCTCATAATCCTTTAACAGATGAATGTTAACTCCTAAAGGTATCTGCTCATAGCACTCATTTCTCCATGCCCAGAAGTGGGACTGCTATAAGACAGGGTATGGTTAATTTTAATACTACTCTCAATTTCCTCAAGTGGTTGTACCAGTTAAACTCTCACTGGCAATATGACTTGCCAGTTGCTCTGCCTCCTTCAGATTGTGTTAGGTTTTAACTGTGCATTCCTCTTCTGGAGAATAAAACGCACGTGTTTTCTCATGCCTATGGATGTCAGATGTACTCGCAGGTAAAGTGCTTTTTGCTGGATTTTTGAGTTTCCAGTCTTTCTTAAGGATCTGTAAGAATTCTTTATTCTGTACGTGTATTTCTGGTCAGACAAATGAGTCCCAAGTATCTTCTTCAACTCAATGACTAACCTTTTGTTTTTGGCTTTGTTATGTCATAATCATGTTTTCAGAAATTAGCATTATTTTGAAGATGTTTTTATTACCCTCAAATGATGGGAATGATGTGACTTTTTTACTAAAATCTTGTTTCTCATTAATTTAAAACCTGAGTAGCCTATTTCCCAGAATAAACTAGCCTTTATTTAACTCAAAAGTTTTTAATCAGGATTTGACTGACAAGAATTCAGGTTGTTCAAATGAACTTGCTAACCATCAGATTTAATCATAGTGAAGTCCCAGGAACTGGCCAAATTATTTCTTGAACTAACTCATCCATTTGGAAAACAGCTATAGTGCTAATAGAAGTACAGAGAACAGATGCAGTGATTCACACCTTTAATTCCAGCTACTCAGGAAGCAGAGATTGGGGAGGATCAAGGTTCAAGGCCAGCCTGGGCAGAAAGTTTGTGAGACCCACACTAGTGGTATATGTCTGTAATCCTAATGCAGGGAGGCCAGCCCCAGGCAAAAACACAAGACTCTGTAAGAAAAATAACTAAAGCAAAAAAAAGGCTGGCAGTATAAAGTGGTAGAATGCCTCCCTAGCAAGCTCAAGACCCTGAGCTCATACCCCTGTACTACCAAAAAAAGAAAAAAAGAGGTAGCTGGCAGATAGGAGTCTGGTTTTTGACCTTTTGTCTTTACAAGGAAGCTGGTCATTAAACCAAGAAAATGCACAACATACAAAGATGCTTCACTACCTCAAGATTGCAGCAAAGGCCACAGGTTCTTACTCTATGCTACTTAATCTGCAAGAGCTCCGAGTGGTGTCAGAAGCTGTTTCACAGATAAGCTAAGGTGACTCGTCCAGACTAGACTAGCCAGCTAGAAAGGGCCACCAAGGAAAACAAATTCTGGCTGATTCCAAAGCTGTTTGTTACCTAACTACTACACTGTCTACTGCTGCTGTAAATGAGTTGTAAGATTTCAGGACAAATTACCAGAATGCTACAATTTGCAAGCATGACATTAGGATCACTAGAAGTAGTAATCTGAGATGTCAAGGAAAGAGGGAAAGCTGCCTGAGGATGAAGACAATGATTTTGCTATTTGAGGTTCAGACTGGCCTCAACCTTGAGTTCTTTCTACCTCAGCCTCTTAGAGAGCTTGAGTTATAGCTGTGCACCAGCCACACATGGCACAGGCAGTGTTTTCCAATCATTTGTCCTTTCTAGGTGTTTACTTGTTTCCCCCAGTTCAGCGAAGAGTATGAATAGAATACGCATATTTGAGTATCATGTGCTCTATCACATCTTCAATGTATAAATCTTTCATTTCTTCAGGGCAACAATTATAACAGAGACTACCTAAATTGCTCCAGGAACTTTAGGGCACACTGGATGAGAAGGCAGCACTGGCTACCAGAACTAGTTCATACAAAAGGCCTCTTTGATTCATGTTGCTTTTCAGATGATTTTTAAAATTATATAGTACCAAAATGATGGAGTTCTGCCTATTCTGGTCACTTATTTATATACAAATGATATATAGTTGATGATGACTGTACATCCCTGAGAGCCAACAGTGAATAAACTTCACATAACAGTAGCCTTCTCCCTGACTACACTGGGAGGTGCTGGCAGGTAACACCTCAAGCAGCAAGCAGTACTGCTTTGAGACTTCCTGGGAGTAGTAGGTATCTTTAAATGCATTCACAAATGTTTGGGACTTACAAGATATATTCTGGGATTTCAAAAATTATGTTATATACAGTCACTATGAACACAACTGAAATAAATCATTAATGCACACAAATACTGATCTAAGGTTAAAAATGTCTTGGATGACATTTTGGAGAAACTTCCAGAAGAGTTCAACATGGCAGAGATAATGCAAAAAACCTCAAACAGAAGCCCCTATGTTGTGGTTTGCTTCCAAGAATGTGAAAGGATGAATATTCTCATTCGGGAAATTCGTGTGTCACTTCAACAACTAGACCTCAGTTTGAAGGTAAGTTTAAAGTAGGGACCAGAGTGGGCTTCCCACCACTGGAAGATACTATGTGGCCCTTTTCTCCATTCAAGGGGGAGATGACCTTATCTCCTGATGTGGAAGCGATGCAGTCCGTGTTGAGTCACGACAGAGTTCCAGACACTTGGAGCAAACTGGCTTACCCATCTACTTACGGCCTAGCACAGTGGTAAGCTACCATCCTGTTGCTTCCCACCATCTGACCATGATCAGCAGGGCAAGGACAGCACAGTGTTCTCCACTATGCCTGTAAGAACCCCAGTGACTGTGCTTTGTGGCTATACTCAACCCATAACTGGGCAAACTCAACCACCAATTTTATTTGAGTTTCCTTGGTATGTTGCTTCAAATGCAAAAATCAGTTCAATGTCAGAGCAAAACTCAAATGTTGCCTCTCGCCTTTTAGGTATTTGTCCTTGGGAAAAATACCAAATATTTCTGTCTCAGTTTTTCATTTGAAAAAATGTACATAAGAGAATTCCTTCACTGTGTTATCACAATTTAAATGGTCATGAAGGCATCTATACCCTTCATTTTCTAAGCCAATGAATACCAATGCCATCTTATAGATGATTTGAAAAGTTTGTATTATGGTACAGAGAAAATTAAACTGCCTTTACGTAGAGGCATGACCGCAAAGATGTGCCCCACAGCCAGGGACAGGAATTCAAGTGGCTGAAGGCTAGTGTTATCCCCAACTGCACTGGGGTCTTGGTAGACAATTCAAAATGTGCCACGAGGCTTTCCTTATTCCTGACCTTTTGGTGAAATTCTTTATCCCTGCTTCTTCGAATCCTTCTTCCATCAATCAGAACCCCAAATAACAGTGAATCAGAACTGTCCACTAGGCACCCAAGTTTTGGCTGTTGGGATGGACATGACACAGGGGGGAGAGGACAGTGTGTGACTCTCACAGATGGCAACAAATAGCCACCACAGGGAAGTAAGCAGAACCACAAGGTTCCTACCGTTAGAAAGATGCAAAATATATACCCAGATATGAAGAATTTAATTGCATTTTATGGTTAATAACCATAGTTTTCAAATCTAATTTTGTGCTCGCTAATTTATTTTTCTTGTTTTTCCCAACCTTTTCTAACTTGTCAGTTTAGTAGTTCTCTTTGAACAGAAAGTTCTCAGACTCACACTGCCCCTCACACTGGAGGTCCACTCTTGCCCCATCCCCTTCCTGCCCTTTTTACCAACTTCTAAACTTCAAGGTTTCATGTGTTTCCAGATTTTACCAGAGGCTATTAGGTTTTTGTTGTTGTTGCTGTTGGGTTTTTTTTTCTTCACAAAGTGCAACAGCAACTTGGCTATAAGAAGTAATGTGGGGTACACTTGCCATGCAGCTGAGCCCGCAATGTCCATCACCCTCCCTGGGACATTTCAGCCTTGGTCCTCTCTAAAAACTGCCTATACCCCTGGCTGCCCAGTAACAGTATGTGTTGCAAGCATGCGCTCTGGCACTGCACTTTGACCCCCAGGCACCACATGCAGTGGGGGCTCAGAGGCTCAGTGCTCCTTACCCTCTTTCAGCCAGCTTCCTCATAGCCAGTACTACATGGGTAGAACTGTCTACCTTTCAAGTAATTATTACATGTCAGAAGAATACTGTCACCCCATTCCCTCTTGTCTGTCGCCTTCCTCAAACAGTCCTTTGCTGTGTCCTCATGTATCTTGTACCTCAGTGTGGCACTTGTCAACACAATTCATATGGAGATCTCCTCTGTATACAGTCACCACACAGCAGAAGGAGCTAAATAAAACAGCTGAGTAGTTTTCCATTTTCCCTAGTGTTTCCTGCCCCTAATGTTAACAACTATATAATCTCAACAGGAAATGAGCTAGTCCTTAAAAAGGTCAAGGTCCTGCAATCATCATTGGCAGTAGCAACCACCCCATCCATTCCTTCCCCAGAATCTTATTAGATAGAAGACCTGTATTTTACTAAACAGGAAGTTTACTTCTCATTAACCAGGTTTAATGATCTCCTCTTGCGCTGCCGAGAACTTGACACTTGGACACAAGACCTTGCCCTCCCAGCTGTCGTGTGGCTTTCTGGCTTCTTCAACCCTCAGTCCTTCTTAACTGGTAAGGTTGGGGGCAGGGCAGCCCAAATGCTGACAAGACAGCACACCTGGTGTTAAGTCCCACCCTACTCAAGCAGTGGCCACTACAGAGAGGGAGCAGAAGGGAAGGGGACCAGCTATGAGGTGGGGCCTGGTGCATGCTAGTGAAGGGCCATGTGGTCTGTCACAAGTTCTGCCATAGAGGTCCAAGAACCACAGATGATGCAAATGGCTGCAGCTGTTCCAGTATTCTGACCTACACTGAGCTATCCTGCAGGCCTGTTTGCCAAGCCCTGCTCTAGAGCCCAGGAACCAAATATACCTTATGGCACTAAAGAATACCAGGCTTACAGATGCCTCCTGGGAACATACATACAGCTTGTTGATCCTCTTCAATTGTTGTTCCTTCTCCTCCCAAAGCAATCATGCAGACCATGGCTCGAAAAAATGAGTGGCCGCTGGATAGAATGTGCTTGACTGTTGATGTTACCAAAAAAATGAAAGAAGACTATGGCCATCCCCCAAGGGAAGGTGCATATCTCCATGGGCTCCTCATGGAAGGTGAGACACCCTAGAGAGCATGCTGAACCTTTCCCTATGCAGGCTCAAGTTGGCATTTGTTGTTTCTCAGGATCTACTCGTTGATTCAATAACCATATACTAGCGGTTCTCTTATTTCCTCCTTTTAAGCAATTTAGATGCCAAGATGTATTCACTGTGAACTAGATTTTGAGGCACTTGGGGTGATAGCTATTACTTAAACTTCACACATAACAAGACCTGTACTAAATTTACATTATTTTGCTTTTCACTATAATGAAGATTTGTTCTTGTCAGTAAATTTGAACAGGTTCTGCCTGGAGGAGTGGGGGTAGGGGGAGGTGGCCCAAACAATGCATACACATGTGAGTAAATGTAACTGTCAGACCTCTCCAAGGCTTTATTCTCCAAGCCTTTACGGTGCCTTCGCATGTTGTATGAGAAGGGTTCAGAGTATGCAAGATATTCCAAAACTGTTTGACCGTGCATCTATTCTATGCACGACAAAAGGCATTTTCCTTTTTCACTTTAAAGCAAGCACTACAGTTCAAATATTTAAGAGGCTGGGTAGGTGGTGACCTGAACTTGTTCTAAGAAAGTGTGACTTGGAGATTTCTTATATTGTATTTGGCTCCCTTTTAAAAACAAGTGTATCTGAATTCATAAACCTGGGTAACCATTATGGATGGAAGCAATAACCCACGCCTAGTAGAAGCAAGTTAACTTCCCTCTCCAACCTTAGTTATGGTCAAAATGTAAGTGACATGTAAAAACATAACAAAACAGGAATGTTTATTGCATCAAATTAAAACACCAGTACCAACATGCTAGCCATCGCAAGTATTGTTTTTGCCCTAGGTGCCAGATGGGATGCCCAGGCAGGAACCATCGTTGAAGCACGCCTCAAGGAGCTGAGGCCCATAATGCCCGTCATCTTTGCCAAAGCCATACCCATGGACAGACAAGAAACCAAACACACCTATGAGTGCCCTGTGTACAAAACCAAAATGAGAGGCCCCACCTATGTCTGGACCTTCAGGCTGAAGAGCAAAGAGAAGACAGCTAAATGGGTGCTGGCAGGTGTGGCTCTGGTGTTAGAAGCATAAGATGGCCTTTGTGCTGGGACTTACATTCCTCTACTAAAAGGTATATAACATATGCCAGCTTATGTAACTTTTTAGCAATTTACACATGCATTTTTAAAGGCCAACCTTAACAGCTGAGAGTAGCAAATACAGAAAAAATACTAGAAACCTGGCCAGCATTTGTATTCACGGATTTTAGCTCCTCCCTCCCACCCCCAAAATGCCATACAGTGTCGTAAATATTTACATTCTTAAAAGCAACACTGCTGGGAGGGTCAGTTCTTATAGACATTAAACACCACAATCTTTTTTTAAATTAAAAAATTCTTTCCAAACATAGAAGCAGCAGGCACTATGGGGCTTCCAGTATCTGTAATGTGACAGTCCACTTTTGTTAAATTTAAATAAAACCCTAGTAACTCTCACATTTTGTGGTTAATTGCACTTTGTAATTTAGGGAAACACACTTCAACATGATCACTCAATCTTTTTACCTGAACTCTCACTCCACCCCATTTAAATTGTGCTTTTGAATCATCGACAGATACTTACAACAATGCAGGTCTATGAATAGATGTAGATAGATTCCTCTGCTATTTTCCTGAGAAATCTTTTTAAGCATATAAACTATTTTTTAAAAAAATAGTATTTAAAAACAATAAATCTCCAAAAAACTTCCATATCAAAACACAACTATAAGGTATATAGCTTGGCGTACTCTGGTAGTTGGCTGGTTCTTTCTTCTCTCAATTGTCTTCTACCAGCTGCTTTTGTAAGCTGGGGAAAAGATGAGAAGCGCTGGGTAAGTAGTTAATGAGATAGAGGCAAACACAAAGCAGCATTCTCTAGGCTAAGGAGGCAGTATAAACCGGATCTCCCGATGCGATTTCCACTTCAGAATGCTTTGCACAAGTGACCTGTGGGGCCTACGATTCTGTATCTTCATCTCAGGTGCACAATGCCCAGCCTCCCTCATTAGGGTGATAGCTACAGGTAGCTCTGCTCTGCAGTTCCCCCCTAAGCCTGCTTCTCTCTTCCTTCCATTTCTGTTTACACGCTTAGGGGAAATTTTGGTCCAGGGAAGAAATTTCCTAACAGGGAAATATCAGGCCTGCACTTCTCCAATGTAAATAAGACACCGAATAGCTTGGCACTCAAGGTGGGGCTATGAATCAGCCAAGAAGTGAAGCAAGTACTCCCTGCCTAGAGCATGTCCCATGCTGGAACCCAGCTCTCACTTTTAAGTTGCTAGGGACTTACCTCTCCAGATACTCTTTAACATTGTCATAGCCGTAAAACTTGGCCAGATGAATGAGGATTCCTGTGGCACACCGGCCATCACGCCTCCGACAGTAACTACAATTGCAGATCCCACGGCAGGGAGGACACATCCAATCCTAAACCAAAGGTAAAACCTTCCCATTATCTATGGGCCCAGCTCAAATCTGGCCTCTAGTCTTTAATCACACAGAGAAACAAGAAGAAATGTCTTCTGTAGACATAATCATCAGCTGCTAAGACATTACAGACACCGCGAAGAACATTAAGCCAAGAGCAGTCCTCTGTGTGACAGCACACAAAGGAGGCCATGGTTTTAAGAAGCCCAGGGTTTGCAAAAGATCAGGGTGGAAATCTGAGCTCAACACTTACTGTTAAGTCACTTAAGTGGTATGTCTGCGAGCATGCTACAGTGTTTGTACCCATGTGACTGCTACAGAAGAGGTCACACAGGAAGTGGCTACGAGCACTGACTCTAGAACAGTCTTGCTCATGTTCCAGGTCATATTTACTAACCATAATATGATTCTCAGAGGGAACCAAAGCGTAGATATGTTATACACCAACTTCATAAGGTAAAGTGTACTAATAACGAAGTAAAATAACCACACTCACAGATGCAAGACACACTTAGGAAGTACTCTGTGGTATGATATACCCACCACCAAATCAAAAAGTAAATCATTTTGCTGGTGGAAAGGTAGAGGACTAACTTGTACAAAATCAGACAACCAGTTTTGCTAAGACACTGGGAAACCCAAACTCTTCTCCCACCGTATCTGTCAGCAGGCTTGCTTTCTAGAAGGAAACACTATTTTTCATCCCCCACCAGATGAAGAGGAGGGAAAGTGATGAGGGTTCAGCAGGTCACCTTGAGTTTGCTTCCTTCATCAATACAACTCATAACAATTGCCGTAACACTGCTCGTACCGGGTCCAGCAATGCCACCCTCACATCTTCCCCGTAGCGATTCCGAAGGCATGGCCCACAGAACTGTCCTCGCACTCCACCACAGCTCTGGTTCCGACACACTGTCTTGGTGTCAATGGTCTTCTGCCGACACTGATGGCATGTGTTACCCTAGGGGCAAGGCGAGAGCAGGTAAACATGGGATTCACCCAGGGATGCCATCACAGACATTACCTAGTACAGGAAGCAGCACTGCCTCTCTCCCAGAGTCAAGCAGGACTGATGCCCCGGACAAAGCATAGCCCCTCCAACAGTGAGCACCTCAGATCTAGCCAGAGTATCACCTTAGGGCACATGAGGCTGGGCAGAGAGACCAGGAGAAAACCTGAGGCAGGGGTGGCAGAGCTCACAGCAGGAACAGATGACTGAGTGATGACAAGCCCCAGACACATCAATTTAGCTTTAGCCTGTGTTCTTCAGTATAAAATCTCCTGGCTTTACAATGTTGGCAATTCACTTAAAAATGTTTGACTACTACTTTGTTTGCCATTACCTTTCCAAAAAAGAAAGCAGAAATCACACAAAGCCTCCCCCGCCCCACATTACCACTTGGAAGAAATTTTAACCCGTATCTTGCTCGCCAGAAATTCTTATTTTCTATGGCTATCATTACACTCCCTTCAGTACACTTTTTCATTACTTAAGATATAAAACTAGCAGTAATTATAAAAATATTGCATGCCTCAGGGAGACCTCTCTCCTGCCGAGGATCACTATGCGTGTCTTTTCCCAGCTACTGTGATGCTAGACCCTACAATTTAGAGCCTGCTTCTGGGGGAGAAGACACAGGGGTGTAAGCTCTGATACAGTTTAAAAAACAAAGTAAGATTTCAAATACCAATGTCTTGGACTCCCAGTAAGCATCCCAATCATGCAAATTACTCATAAGCTATCACTTACCAGAACTTTATCATAGATTTTATCTCGAACAGTTATGGCAACATTTTCCAGGTCCTCTTCAGTGATATCCTCCACAGGGCGAAAAGAAGATATACGGCGACGGCGTCTATACTTCTGGCATTTCCCCTGAAAAATGAACAACAGTAGAACCTGGAATAAGACATGTTGCCTCATTTAAAAACAGTATAGAAATCTTAAACTCTAGAGACTAGCACCACTAACACCGACCATGTCCTTCTTCAATTTCCCTGGAACCCTTTCATCAGTGTAGACATTTACTGGGCTGTTCTGTGCCAAGCTTCCTTCTTGGGAAGGCAAAACAGCTGAAAAGGAACAGCTTAGGCTTTAGGGTTCCCTGTTATAAACTTTGTGGACACAGAAGTGGGCCACACTGCACAGCTAAGCCTTCAAAGTCCCCATTACTGAAGCCAAAGCAAGGAGGAATCCCTGTACTTTCCCACAGGCAAAACCACAAGGCTGGCTGCAGCTGCTAACAGGCCTTTATTGCTCCAGCTTGGTTTGTTTTCATAGTACTGGGATGAGGGCTTCCTGGGCAAGTGCTCTACTGAGCCATACTCTCACCCCCTCAGCTCAAGTTTGCCCATAAACTCAATGTGACCTATAGCTTAACCCAGGGATCCTCTCAGAACATGCTCTCAGGGAACCTGGTGCACAGGAACTCTCAGCTGCTGCAGGTCTCCTGAGTCAGAAACTGCACAAGTAGTACAAGGAGATGCAAGCTCCCATTTGAGGACCATAGCCTTAGACCAAGAATAATTTATGAGTCAGAAAATACCCCACTAATTGTTTTCCTTCTTCTGAAACTGTAAAACTCTTCTGCAAATTTGGTGGCTGACAAGGCAAAGTTTTCCAGAGCAAACTTTTCTGGGGGCCGGGCGCTCCGGGTGGGGTTCATACGTCGTGTGATCTGTCCCTCTGAGAAGGCCCGCCGCACTGTTTTCTTCTTCTGCAATGAAGAGCACAGACAGATGCACCTGGGGCTCCCTTAAATAAAAGCCATCTGGAGACCAGTTACTAAATTATCAGGATGGGTCTGAGTAATTAGAAGGGGTTCCACTTACGGAAGCTGAAGTTGGGGTTCGCACTGGGAAGAAATCTGGCATTGAGTTCAACTCTGCCAGTAACTGAGCAAGCTGAGAAAAAAATGAAAGAAAGGGTAAGTCAGTGTTGCCAGGCCAGATCACCCAACACCTTTCCCATGTCTTCAGTTTTCCTGCTCAAGTAGCTGGCTTGTTGTCATGTTTTTAACTTCACATGTGAAGATTTTATCTCCAGAGGCGAGAAGCTGATGTCCTCATTCACAGGAGACAACTTTGCAGCCTTTACGCAGGGACAACGTGACACAATATAGTCCTGGAATGTCCAGGAGTGTGAGGTTCACTTCCTGTCACTAACTTAACAGTGTGACCCTGAAATAAATTTTACAAACCCAAAATTTCAACATGTCAAAAACCAGAAGTTGAGCACTAGATGATTTTAGTGGTAAATCTAATCCCTAAAAATCAGTTAACTTATTACCAACAAAAATAATTTCTGCAGATATGCCCCAATGAATATCTAATAACACCAAGCAACAGGCATTAATATGCCAGAGAATTTAATTGGAATGTTTTTAGTTAGATTTATATAAATATATGGATACCGGTTAAAAAAAATCATATAGAACATAGTTTTTATTGAAAAAGATATAGATGGATAAAAATTTCCTTTAGCCAACCACGTGTGTGTGTTAAGATAAAAATCACCCAAACTACACTTTGTTTCTGTAAGTTAACTCACTAGTTCGCACAGACAGTATAATCATACATATAGTATCATCACAATATGCTTTTTAAAAAAAGGGAAAATATTAAAGACAAAATATACCAAAATGAAAAAAGCAATTGTGAGTGGTAAGATTTTAAGAAAATTCTGTCAATATGCTGAGGGCATGGCTCAAGTGGTAGAGTGCCTGCTTAAGCAAGCACAAGGACCAGAGTTCAAACCTCAATTCCACCAAAAAAAAAAAAAACCTTTTAAAAGTGAATTAAAACTGCTGAAGTTTTTAAATTCTTAGACCCTTCCCATGCCTTAAGGTGATGTCTCTACAGGATGGTGGTTCCAGGCAAAGCCACCTGCCTGCCCTGCCCACCGTAACTCTCCCTGGGCTTAGTGACCTCTTTTCTTCTTTCTGCTGGGACAGTGCAGTTGTACAGCTCCTCTCCTTCCCATTGCCACTACTGATTTACAACTGAGCCTGACACACAGCTTCAGGTCCTGCCACCTGGAAGGGGTTATAAATGGCTGTCAGAGTCTCCTTCTATTCCCACACCATAGCTGATCATATAATAACTGCTTCAGGCTCTAGGCAAGAGAAAAGGAAGCAATCCCCAGCATACATTTTCCTGACAGAAGCCAAAGCGGGAGTAACCGTGGGGGCGGGGGCGCCCTGCTGGGAGGCCTTACCACAGCCTTGTTCTCCTTGATGTTCATGGTCCTCTTCCGCAGAGCATCCGAGCTCTCCTGGCTCTCGTCCCTGGAGTCATCCTCAGACTCAGAGGCAGAATCTTCCCTTTCCTTTGCCTGTCTGCAGCTTTTGTTTCGCCCAAGAATCTGTTTACTGTCCTGTAAATGTGAGCTAGGAAACAGTAGCTCAGAGGAACTGTTTTTATCTGAAGTTTTTGTCAATTTCTTGGTGGGGAACTGAAAGGCTACTCGAAGGCCGATGCTGCTTCTTCTAGACCTGCCTCTTCTGGGGGCAGCTTTTTCTTCTTCATTCTCCTCTTCCTCACTCACCAGGGATGCTTTACCTTTGTCACTCAAATCTGACTCCACGAGCTAATAAAGAGAAAGGACACACACATTGTTTATAATAGACCTACCCCCCCAAAACAAAACAAAACAAAAAACACATGCACATACATTTAAAAAATACCCTGGGAGTTGGGAGAACACAGCTCAGTGGCACAGCATGTGTTTGGTATACGCCAGGCTCTGAGTTCAATCCCCAAGTGCCAAAAAATGAAAGAACTGCTCTGATATTATTTCAGAAGAACAGAGATAGTGTTGCTATTACTAGTTCCCACGGAACTCTCCCGTTCCCACAGAAATTTGCTGATGTATAAAAATCAAAGCACAGACAATCTACCATCAAACCATGCACCATCACACCCACTGACACACTGTTCCATCAGGGAGTCAGGCGTAAACCAAACACTGACAATGCAGGGCTCCTCCACAGTGAACAAGTAAGCTGGTACACCTGGAAGCCAAGTAAAATGAGTAACAGTCAAAGAAAGTGTGTGCCTGACAGAAGAGTTGTCTCCAGATAAAATTGGAGACAGCAATAATACACCAACACATCTGCTCTAAACAGCAGAAACAGGACTCCATGGGCAGGACAGCTGACTTCACTCCAGTGACCGACGAGCAGACAGAGGACCTGTCAGTAGGGTCAGTAGAGGAATGTCCTCCTTAGGACACAGAGTGTCTGTGGTCCAGGGGATCCCCTCCTTTTCCTGTAACCATCAAAATGGGGTGAAATTGAAGTAGACAGCTCTTCAGGTAGTTGCAGAGCACCAGCTCAGTCAGCATAAGAAGTTTTTCAAGGTACAGACTCCAACATCAAAACCTCACTTGATTTTACAAAGTGAGAATAGTTAGAACAGAAGGCAGTGACAGGATGACATCATCCAGGTGACAGTGGAGTGACCATCAAACAAGACAGCCTCCCATCAGGGCATTCCTCCTTAGGGGAGGTGAGGGTCAAAGCCAGCTCCACAGTCACATAGCAGATGGCTTCTACACAGGTGCCAGGCCACAGGTGGGTCTTTAGAAGCTGCTGAATGTGAATGGGCTTAAACTATCTTCACACCTCACCTTTATAGCAAACAGAAGGAACGTTATGTTTATTTTGTGCATAAACAGTTTTCAATTAGTAGAAAACATTTTGGGGCTTGCAAAGATCCATACAACTGTTACGTTTTTGTGTATTGACTAAAAACATGAATTTAAATTAAGAAATAAAAACGAAGTCTACATGTATTGTGGTATTTGGAATTGGAGTCCAGATCAAAGATGACATTAACGGAAAAACTGGTAAAATTGCTCAAGTCTAAAATTTAGCTAATAACAACACACTAACGCTAATTTCTCGGTTTTGACAAATGCACCACAATCAGCTAAGAGGAAACTAGGTCAAACATATAACATACAGGGACTCTCTGTACTACTCTGTAATTTTATAAATCTAAAATTATTACATTTATATTTTTTAAAAACCACAAAAGTTATGCTTTGAAGTCTCCTAGGATTCAAATACCAGTGGGTGGGAAATTGGCCTCCACATTCAGAATAAAAGGAAGAGAGAGATCCACCAACACTCTCTTTCTCTAGGACCCAAGCAGGCCCAGGGTATCTCCAGCCTACAAAGCAGGCAGCAGAGTCTGATGCCGGGAAACCCGAGTCTGCCCCACAGCCATGCTTCTGCCCAAGTAACTTCAAACCTGAGAGGATTACTTCACATACTACAAGAAAGGAAGAACTTGAAGGGTTTGTTAACTCAAGACGGACTGAAAAGATCAAAGAGGCTCAGAAAAGTCCGAGACACCTGATGGGTAAGGACAGTGACGGACACACCCCCCAAACGCCAAGGGAAGACGTGGACATTTTTCCTAAGAGAGAAATTAATCAGTAGACTGAGTGGCGATTTTCATATAATGTTAATTGGCTTCTAGGTTAAATAGAAGGAAAAGTGAAATCTTGTCATGTGTGAAATGACTTTTCACGAGTAAAACTACTATTCAGAAACAGGACTGAAAACATTGCAACCCACAGCCTTCGGCGTTTATAATTACCGTGACTTCTGGGTTACTGTTTATGTTCAGCTCACTCTGGGTAAATCCTTCAAAGTCTTCAGAATCTGAGTCAGTGTCCTCTATAAAAATTCTTCTTAGCTCTTCTGTAAAGTATTTGGAATGGAGATGCACATCCTGCTAAATGAAAAACACAGATTTAAGCTAGGTATGGTGACGCAGCACTTGAGAGGCTGACACAGGAGGATCGTGAATTTGAGGCCAGCCTAGGCTACATAACTAACACCTTGTCTCAAAACAAGAACAAAAGCCAGCAACCACACATTTATCATAGAAGCAGGAAACAGAATAGAGGTTAAGAGAGGAAGGAGAAAATGAAAAATTATCGTTTAATGGATACGAGTTTTTGTCACAGATAATGAAAATATTCTAGAGGTGGACAGTGGTGAGGGCAGCAAGACATGGTGAATATGTGTACTACCACCAAACTATGCACTTGAAATGGTTGAAATGGCGAGTTCTGAATTATGTATACTTTACCACAATAAAGAAGCATGACACACACACGTACGCACATTTTCTAAGGCTTACAGAAACAAAAGCCTACAAACTGGATAATTTCAAAAACCAAAGTGCTACCACCTCAAGTACCTTTGGTGTGCCTGGTGAATGCTGATGGAATTCAGCATCTCCTGCCAAAAAAGCAAACACGTGGAAAGCAAATGTGAGGAGGAAGCTAGTTGTCTCCCACAGCCTGGCTTTCCTCCCTACTGCCACCCAGAGCCGCTCCTGCCTGTGGTAAGCACACTTTTTGCACACAGCAGGTGTTTCTGGAGGAAAGGGCTGGAAAACCTGGACTTACTCCATTACCAGTAACTATGGGGACTGACAGAAAGCTGCCATCCTCCTTACCCCCAGGAGGCAAGAAGTAAGCAACCATCAGTGTAGAGCACATGAGCAGAGGGAAAGATGTTATATGGCTAACTCTTAACCAACCACCTGAGCATGGCTGAAGCAGTAGCATCCCAAGTTTGAGGTCAACTCAAAAACAAAATCCAACAAAGGCTGGGGATGTGGCTCAAGTGACAGAGTAATTGCATAGTATGCATGAGGCCACAGGCTTGTCCCCAGTAAAACACACAAAGACACTGTCTGATAATGACATTTTCTTTTGAAGTATTATGAAGAAAGAAATCCAACTGTCTTAATCATGTGTGTGAAAGAAGAGAGAGAAAAAAACTTGTAAGCCCAAAGGGAGACCCCCCAAGGACAACCTTTCTTCTTAGGCCACAAGCCTTCATCAGAGCTGAAAACTGTGTCCCAAGTATCCCTGAAATCTCATCCTCCTCCCCTTGATGTAGCAATGACCCTTCCTAACACCACATTTGTTTGAGGTTCTCTCTCTTTCCTGCCTTTCCCTGACTTTAATTATATACTTCTTCAAACCCATGTATCTTTGGAAAAAAAAAAGACGAGTAGAAAAACTTACAGGGGGATAGAGAAAGAAATGCCTACATTTAGCATTCTTTAAGCTTAAAAATGACTCCTATGAATTACTTTAGGTAATTGGAAAGAGTTTACACAGAGCTAAATTACTTTGTTCCTTTGTTGATAGCTGTGGTGCAGCTGCTTGAAAAAAAAATAATACACACAAAAGGGAAGTTTCTTAAAGCGAAGTTCAAGTTGTGTTTAAGGGAGACCAGAGTCAGCTACACGTACTGTGCACAAGTTCAGCTCTCTCAGCTGGTTAAAATGGCTCACAAACGCGTGGGGTCAGGCAAGCAGCAGAGCAGGGCTCACTGTTAAGAATGAATGAATGGAACCCAGCTGGCTGCTAAGAAAACCCACCAGGCACCTGAGTGCAGGACACCAGTGCTCGGGGCCTTCAGCCAGCCCCTGCCAGCTGTTGCAGGGCAATGATGTCTGTGTGTAAATTTCACTAAACAGCCAAAGCTCCTGCCTCCAGCCTGAAGAGAACAGGTCAAGTTTTGGAGCAGCAAGTTCCAACCTTCCAATCCATCTGGTGTTTTCTAACCTTTGTGTTAGCCTCATGGGGCAGCAGGAAGCCTAGGAACACTGGTCTTTGGTAACCTGTCCTGATGGGATAAAACGACGTAGCTGCAACCCTCCACTGAGGCCTATGCTCACATTTTCCTTAGTCCAAAGGGTCAAAGGCTGCTCTCCACGTCCCCACTGCACACAGTCCCACTGCATTCTTGGTTCAAGCTCACACGGCTCTGCTCTCTGGAACCTGTTCCTGACCCTTCCCAAGTAGGCACAAAACTTGGGCCTCGATTGTCTGTATCTACCCTGATCAGGGCTATAAGCAAATCACAGATGGGAAGATGAGGCACCAGAGGTGGTTAAGTTTTTTTTATTCTGAAGCTCATGTGACATAAAGAAACAGACAGGAAAGAAATGGCCTGCTGAACCATCAGACACTTCAACTGTTCCCAACAAACACCCAGCAGTGCCCCTTCTGTTCAGTTACATGGGAGGCTGGGTGCATCAGAGGACCCAGAGGACGACATGAGAATGAAGCTAGAAAGCAGCCTTCAAGTATAAGATCCCCTGCTCAAGGAACTCCTAACCTAGTAGAGAATCCAGACAGCCCCACGAGTCCCCATGGTGAGGTCGGGGTTACACAATAGCGCACAGAGCTAAAGAAGATCCAGTGAGACTTCACAGAAGGAACAGCATCCCAACTGGACAAACCAGGAGCGTCTGGAAATGGTGAGAGAGCAGAGCAGGATGCACAGCGTGGACCAGTGAACAGAGTGGCTGAGGTGAAGGAATCAACCCAGTGTCTGTACTGTACAGAACGGCAGAGAGGAGAGAGCGCCAGGAAGCCAGAGGCTGAGAGGTGGTGTCCTGGTTTGGAGCATCCATGCTGGGCACTTCCCCGCTGTGGAGCCATGGGCAATTCTCTTCACCTCCCAGAGCTTCAGTTGCATCCCCTATAAATGTGGACAGTGACAGCACCTCCATCTGCCAGGGAAGTCCACAGAGCACATACTACCTGGCACACTGTCCCAGACAACTAAAACTTGCTGGGGTCAGACTAAAGGGCTGGACAGGACAGAAGTAACCATGTAAGTAGTTACCACTGCAGCAAAACAACAGGTCTTTCTCTCAACACCCAGAGTCTGCCAGGGCCTACACTGGGCACTTCACAGGTGTCCTGTACTACTCAGAACACCCCTCAGGTGGATCCCACCGGCTCTGCTCTCCTGCTTTGCCTGACCGTGCTCAGATAGAGACTGGTAATTTCTGAGTAAGAGAGAAGGTGTGATCAGAGTTTCAGTCCTGCAATAGTTCCCATTAGGAAGGGACAAGCATTCTAGTAAAAGCTGAGAGCTAGGGCAGCTACAGAGGGGAGAAAACAAGTGACAGATGTGCAGAACATGGCAGGAGTCCTGTCAACTCCTGGATGGGAGTCAGGGAGACAGAAGGAGGAGGTTGCTATTGTAGTTAAGAGCAACAGATGGAGATAAAGATGGGGAAATGGGGAAGACAGACAAGCAGAAGAGGGAAAATAGTGAGTGTCAGAGGCCCCTTGAGCAACCAGTCCAACTTGAGACTTAGGAATATACTGGCAGCCAGGTATGGTGGCACATACCTATTATCCTCGGATAATAGGCTAATAATAATAATACCTATTATCCTCGGGAGGCTAAGGCAGGAGGATCAAGGGAGGAGAAGGGAGGAGAAGGGAGGAGAAGGGAGGAGGGAAGAAGAGAGAAGAGGGGAACGAAGGGGAGGGGAGAAGGGAAGAGACAAAAGAAGAGAAAAGAAATACAGGTGAGGCTGGAGAGAGAAGCCAAGCTGCACCTGAAGGGCATGCATGGTACCAGCTGAGAGCCAACAATCAAGATCACTAACACAAGTATCTAAGGTCAAAATCTTAGAGAACACCCACACTCAGGGACATGAAGAAGAAGAGGTGTGTAATAGAAAGGAGGAAGCTGGAGCAGTGGGCGGAAGAGAAGTTGGTGGGGTCAAATGCAGTGAAAACATCAAATAAGACAAGGACCACAGAGACTGGAGAGGCCTGGGGTCTCAGAAAGCAATGCTCCCAAGAAGCACAGAAGACACAAAGTCATTTGAGTAAATAAGCAGGCGCTCATGCACATGTAATAACTGCTTCGCTTCCTGGATCTGCCAGTTGGAGCAAGGTGGGTTTTATTTACAGTCTTTTAGGAGAGGCCATGATGGAGGGAGAACAAGGAGTTCTGAGTGTCACAATGAACTTGGAAGAAAATGCCACTAAAGGCTGGATATTCTGATTAGCCGATTGCTAAGGCACAATATAAACCTCCAGGAATCTAACTTTCAGAGAACTGTACCTTATGTTGCTACCGATCAAAATAATTAAAGAAAGAATAATGTCTCCCCAGCAGTTCCAAGAGTGAGGTACAGATAGAACCTCGCCACAGGACCGCAGCGAGGCAATTGTCTCATAGTAACCATACATTCTCTGCGCCTCTTTGCATCAGGCAGTGTGGGTACACGAAGTGGAGCTGGCCCTCCTCTGACGTTGTGTGGGAGGACTGAATACAGTCTCGCCACAGGTAACAGCCCAGAGTAGCAAAGAAAATGGATTTGATCATGTGAGGTCCCTTTATTAAAATACGTATATATATACCTATTGTACATGGGCAGGATTAAAACAGCAAACATGTGCAGAGTACTCGCACCACTTTCTTAAAACATGAGGCATAATGCTTTTAAAATATAGTGTTCAACAACTAAACTAATACCACCAATCTGAAATAAAACAACACCCAAACCAAGATGCAGGCTTCCAGATGGACACACCTGCCTGGGCAGGATGCAGTCCTACCTGTTTCCCCAATTCCAGCGAGTCAAAACTGTCGCAGCTTTCCTCAGATGAGAGGGTTTCCATGGGAACATCATCCTGGAAACCCATAAACTCTTCATCATCGCTGGGGGCGTTGAAGATGTCAGCCACTTCTTTAGGGATCTGTTTTGGATTCAAAGAGGATAAAACCCAGGCCATGGGAATCACTTAGGTAAATTCTCTAGAAGGAAGCAGCGATTATCACTTTATCATAGTTGCCCAGAAGGCCTCCTTAACTCTGGCCAAAAAAAAGTGAATTGGAAGAACAATTCTGGATATACACCCTACTTCATAGAGAATGTCAAGGGTCAAGGTCATACCTAGATAAAGCCATTTTTGATCATTTGGGGGAAATAAGCCACCATTTTCTGAAAAACCACTGATCTCTTTTTTCTGACAGTGGATTCATCCTTAAATGTCATTCATGTAAAGATTCCATCAAAGGTTATCAAGATCAGTCATTCTCATTCTCTCTCTCTAGAGATGAACAGTGTTCAGTCTACTTCAGTTTATTCCTTTCCTAATAAACTTTACTATCACTTTCACTACAAAAAAAGATGTTATTAAGCTCTTCTTAATTTTCAGTCTTCTGTTGTCATATGTTGATTCATAGACAGGAAAGTTCATACATAAGAACAAGAGGCTTTTCCCTCTTCCCTATACTTTAAATCAATTGAGTAGTTGTGGAACTGATTCTAAGAGAATTTAAGCGCCATTAGGGGCAATTACTCCCACAGAGAATGTTGTCAACACATTTAATCTAGCAAATATGTATCTGCTGGGAATTCATTTTTTGTATGTTGATTACATATAAAAGGTTAAAAAAAAAAAGGTGTGTACAGAAACTCAATCCTGTAACTTCAGCTACTGGGAAGACAGAGAGAATCAATTCAAAGCCAGTTTGAGCAAAAAATTAGCAAAATCCCCAACTCAACAAAAAAAAAGTTGGGCATTGTGGTACCTACCCTTGTGATCCCAGCAAAACAGGAGGCCATAGTTAGAAGGACTGTGGTCCACAGCCCGCCTGAGGTAAAAATGCAAGACCCTACCTGCAAAATAACTAATGCAAACACACACACACACACACACACACACACACACACACACACATGGGATGTGACCCAAGTGCTAGAGCATCTACCTGGTGCAAAGCCCTGAGTTTAAACCCCATATTACAATCAATCAATAAACAAACAAAACACAGAAACGCCTGTAGAGTCTTTACCTAGAACCATTCTATGTTTCCGCATTTGCTTTCTCTATTTCAAGAAAAATGCATAAGCAGTTGATAATATTTGACTATTTTTGCCCTTAGAAAACAGTTTAACATGAGCCAACTTAATCTATGTGTACCCACACACAGTTTAATTTACAGACATACTAATTCGCCTTAAAATGATCCAGCATACATCTTTCTAGGATAAGAACATGCTCGTGGAATAGTTAACATTAATTCAGTATTATCATTAACTACAGTCATTTAATTTTAATGTCTGCAGATGTCCCCACATTGTCTTTTTATAACTTTCAGGAGGCAAGTGGAATCCACTCAAGCAAGCTCTATGCACTGTTTGGATTGTTTTTATGACACTTTTGGTTGTTTTTCCCAACACTAACTTTTACGTAACCTGAGATACCTGCCTTGTAGAATGTTATGTGTTCTGAGGGTATCTGATTGTTTCGGCAAGATTAGATTCAGATTAAAGATATTTGGCAACAAAGTACTTCTTAATACCCTGCACAGAGGCACAAAATGCCAGGTTATCCACTATTAATCAGTAGTGTTTTTCAAAGTCTAATTATAATTCCTTCCAAGTATATTCCTTGTTTTTACTACAATCACTAACACATATGAATTGTACAAATTAGTGAGCTTCACTGTGACATTTCTACACACTCACATATCGTGCTTTAAATGTGACCAGCAAGCACAGTCAAGAGGAGCTTGAATAAGAGGAGCAGTGTAATACACACCCATGCTGTCTGTGCAGCAGTTATCCATCTGCCTGTGGCAAATCCTGCTTCCTCTGCATCCCTAACCATTCAACTTCCTGCCCAAATTATGTACTGAAACCACCTAAAAGCTCAGAAAAGGCAGGCCCAGAGAGCTCGTGGACACTGAACATGTGGAGGCTCACCCACAAGTGGGGAGGTGGTGCGTCCCAGCTGGGGTGCCGGGACAGAGCTGCTACGCTGGTCACCTTCCCAGACCTCACCCTGTGCACCTCCCATCTGACTCTTCACTTGTATCCTTTAACTTGCACTTTCTAATAAACCAGTAAACAGAAGTAGTTCTTCTCCGAGCTGTTGAGCAGCTCTAGAAAATGTATTGAACCAAGCAGGGGGTGTGGGACTGGTAGCCCAGTGGTCAGAAGGTCTAGCCTGCCTTTGAGGTGAGGGCGCCCGGCAGGAATCCACTGCAGAACTGCTTGCTGGCTTGCTGATGGGGAGAAATCCTGGGTCAGCAGAAGTGATCTACATTATGAATGCACAGGAGAAAGCGAATTTGCTGAATACATTCATACATTGCTTCAAGGCTTTCGGGATGGGCAGAGCAAGGATGTGTTAAAAACCATAAACCTCAAATTCATAGCAAAGCCCTGAAATCAAATCCAACATGGCAGGATTCTTCCTTGTCTCTCCCAATCCCACAATGGAACTGCCCCTCCCACACGATGGAAACACTCACCTCCAATATTTCTAGTAACTCATCCATGTGCCCTCAAAATAGTATCAAACCTACACCATTAATGTACTACCAACAGCAACAATAAAGTCAATTTTTCTTCCCAGTTCTTTCTGTCCTTGGCACACAGTCCCACCACATCCTAGATCTTTTCCAGAGATGACCAGTAACTGTCCTTAGGTTGCAAAAGAGCTTTTCATGTGCTTCCCATTCCGTCACACAGTACAGGAAGAAGTTACACCCTCAAGGGTTGAGGTTTAGTAAAGTCTAGTGTGGTATTTTCTTTTAAAATTGAACAGATGGCGGTAAGTAACGCAATGACTATTGGTACAGCTTGTTTGTTGCCACCACCTGGATCCCAGCTAAAGGCCAGGAGTGTTCCCACCTCTGCCTTTGTACAATCAGTGCAAGTATCAACCCATCGAAAAGGTAAATAGTGTCTTACTATCATTATAACAATAAACTTGCTCTCCTAGACCACTATGAGGGTCTCAGGATCCCCCAGAGTACACTTGGCTGTGCTGGCACAGACAAACGTACATACTCAAAACTTTACTTGCATTCTTTCACCAGGACAAATGGGCACAACACTTACACCTAACTCAGGCATGAGTTCTGGGGGGGAAATTACAACTTTTCACCAGGTGGTACCTTCAGCAGTGTTTGCCACCAAATACTCTTTCCAAAGAGACCGTCTGCCATTGTTTAGCCATCAAACTCATACTCCAAAAGAACACCTGTGCTGAAGAAAAACTGAAGATGCTTAGCAAGTGTAGTATGTTACAGTCACCAAGAATGGTCTCTGAAGTGGCAGAGAAAAGGGTTGTGCGTCAAGTTCAGCCTCCTCTGTTTTGACTTCTCACCATTTCATAAGTCAAAAGGATCTGCTGCCCAGAAGCTTTTTTTTTTTTTTTTTAACATAAATGGTTACAGGAGTAGTCTAGCGGCTTATGGATTTCAAGGAAGTACACACAGGAAACAGGCAGGCTTGCACATAGGAGAATAAATTGCTTCTAGAGAGAAAGGCATTAGCCCCTGTGCCCTGTGTGTGTCTAATTCCTCCTTTGTATCTCTGCCTTCTGCACCAACTCCATCAGGGGCTGTGACTACTAAGGAGAAACAAAGGGGAAGAGCACACTTTTGAATACACACCATGCAGTCTTGAGGCAAATACATGGATTCTTGCTGCCAAACTTCAAAAGGTGTTAAGAATTTCAGATCATTGCAAGTCCCAGGATTTACAAAAAAATCTCTGTAAAATATTCCAGTGTCCTTAATGTGCTGAACCCTTTAACAGACAAAATAAAAGAGATAAGACTCAGATAACAGGGATCTGATAAAAAAAAAATGAACTCTTCTAACAGTAATGCGTCAACATATTAGACCCCAGATCAATCATCTTCCTATGCTGTCAGCAGCGATCCAGTAAGGAGCTAGCTGTGCAATCTATACCAGGTGTGTAGTTTTTCAAAGTTTTTGCTTCATTTGATTACAACAATGCCACACTCCTAAGACACACCAAAAAGAAAATTAAAGCAAATAACTGAAAAGAATCAAAGTCAAACAAATTCACAACCAGTGGACATTTACATTAGTCAAACTGCCACAGATTTAGGTAAATGCAATCTAGTTAACCAAAATGAAATTAAGAAAACTCCCTCTTGAACTGTTTCATTAGTCATGATTACCCCTAAAAACTCCACAGCCGTTTCTGTCATTCCTGATATCCATGTATACCGTTTATATTTGTTCACTCTGCCCTTGCTGAGATTAACAAAGCGAATATCATCAGAGGTCAAGTAGAGACCAGGATTCAATTCCAAGAAGGACATGGTACAAGGGTAGACTCCTCGAGCACCTACAAAGGCCTCACTTACAGCAGGACATCAGTAAATCCTTGCCGACAGCATGTCACCTATGTGACTTTGAGGTCTTTCTCCTGGGAAAGGTGTACTGGGTTCAAAGGTACACTCTGACACATCTGGCACAAGAAGAATTAAGTGTTCTAGACTGCAAGGTCCTCCACCTTGCATTCACAGCTCCTCCTTTGGAAGGAACTGTCCATTTCACCTACACACTATATAAAGCCCCTGAGAGCTCATCTCTGGAAGAGAGAATGCAAACTCTGTGGGCTTTGGAGTCAAGCAGGCAGGGAACTTGGGCAGCAGGTCAGTATAGACCACACGGACGGTGCTGCCTGGAGCAGGTAGCCACCGCTCCACTCCAGCCAACAGGAGCCAGGAACGGGAGATCCATTATGCCTAACCTGCGACATCCCTTGGGAAGCCAGGAATCTGAGTCATGGAGGGAAAGACCAAGCATCTGCGGGATGATCTCACGCTTGTTCAGAGAAAGCACACAACAGAACTCACAATGATTTACAAAACCCCAAGGAAACTGTAAGTGCCAGAATTTCAGATATGGCTAGCAGTATACC